TTTAAGTTTGGCTCGTTTTTTCTTTTCTTAAAATAATATTATTTTCTTAACTTCATAATTTATAAACAATGTGATTATTTTGTTGTTTTTAAATTAATAGACTTAATTAGTATTAATTACATTTGATCATTTTATTTTATATTTCCCTTATTTTAAGAAATTAAGATGGATATTGAGTTTTTTTTTTCAACTGACACCTACTTTAATCTTTTTAAAAAAATAATAGATAACGTAGCATGAATGAGTTCAGTAAAAATATATTAATGTTACATTAAAATATGATTTTGATATCATGCTTGTCTTATGTCTATCGAAAGATGATTATGATATGTCTTGTCTATCTAGTCAAATTAATTGAACTTTTTTTCTCTTTTTGTCTTTCGGTGGTGACGCGGACCACGGGGCAGCTGAAATTTTAATACGTGTCTTCTTTTCATTAATTTTCATACAATACAATTACAAAGCATTGGTTGAAAGAGGAATTTCACGAGAAATACCATATTTTAGTTTTGTGAAGTTATAATTTTTTCTTAAATTCCAAGAAATTAAGAATTTTATTTATTTAAAATATTAAAATTTTAGTATGCTAATTTATAAAACTATATACACGATTAATTTAGCTCTTAAAATATTAGTTCTTAAAAAACAGCAACATAAGAGATTAGATGTCAACATAGTGAATATATCTATATATAGTATGTCTCACATTTTTTTTTATTTTAACGATTGATTGTACTTTATATTTTTATAATTGATATAATACAATAACATATTTTTAAATTTTAATTTAAATATATTCAAATGTAAAAATTATGATAATTAATATAAAAATTACACACATGATTAATTTTAATTGATTGATAATATAAATTTATCTATATTAAAATTAAACTCTTGAATTTTATTTTAAAAATAAAAAAATATGAAATATTGTAAAATAATTTCTTAACACTTCTTTCATTTTTAACTCATTTTAATAAGTAAAAATAAAATAATATAAAAAGTACTATGATATATATGTGTATATGGAGTCTTGCACATTTAACATCATTTATTATGGGTTATCATTATCCATGTTTGTCACGAGTTTCTGTCCCCTTTCCTTCAGCTTAACAATAGTATATTTAATTATTAGAGTTACATTGAAATTTAAGAATTTATTAAAAAGATACACGATGTCATACACAAATTAGGCTTTTTAAACTTAATATTAATTTAAAAACATATATTTTTTAAGTTTTCTCTTAATTTACTATAAAATTAATAATTAAAAATCCACTTTTTGAAAACTTATAAGATTTATTAAACTTTAAAATAATAATAGAATATATATTTTTTAATACTTGTATAATATACAAAAAAAATCACTAGTTACTAATAAATTTTGTCTGTAATAGAAGTTAAAATTAATTAAACTTTATTTATAAAAATAGTTTAAACATTACATTATAGTTTTTCTAATTTTCAATTTTAAATAATTAATACATATATTTTTTATTTAATATGTTATAATTAATAAGACTTTTATGTTGTTCTTTAATAATATGAGATATAAATTTTTTTTAAACTTACACCAGTGTTAAAATTTTTTTTTCCTAACAATATATATGGAATTATGCATAATTATTTCATTGTTATAAATATGCCCTTTCATCTTATTTTATATTGTATTTTTAAAACATTTGTTTAACAACTTTAAAATACATGCACTTTAATTTATACAGTCTTCGTTACTGTGAGTATCTTTTGTAAATGTTTATCATATATTGATATTGTTCTTATCTGTGAAATATAATAATCTTATTCATAAAAAAAAAAAAACAGCTTGAGCCTAAAACAGGCCTATAACTCGACTGTAACTGAATTGCTTTATCTATAGGTTATAGGTTGGGATGAATTGTGAATATTTTTTGTCCCTATTCATCAAGTCTGGGTCCCTAGAATAAACTAACCTTAAACAACTTGGGTCTAAAATAGGCCCGAGAGCATCTACGCTAACAAGTCTCATATTGGGCCTGAAGAATAACAAAGCAAAGAGAACTCTATCCAGGACATTTTTCAAAAGAAACGTTTAAAAAAAATTATAAAGTGGCATAAAAAGTTTTTAAAAAGTACAAAAAGTAATATCCCACTTCCCAGCATCTCTGATATTGAAAAACATTTTCATTCTAATAACTTAAATTAAGGATATATTTGGTTTAAGCAAGCATTTTCCATTATTCATTTTTAAATAATTATAAATCACTATTTTGTTTTGTGTTATTTCTATTTAAAAACTTATAAAGAAAAGAATAAAAATCTCTTGTTTTTATTTTTTATAGTTTTAAAATATAATTATTTATAAAAAAAACAACTAGAACAGCATCCATGCAAACGATTTTAAAAATTTCTTAAAATTACATTAAAAGATAATAATTCAAAATTGAACAGGACATTAAGGGCATGTCTGTTTAATTTAAAAAAAAATCTTTTTCATTCTTAATTTAAAAAAAACTTTTTAAAAATGCAAACAAGTATACTCTAACTCTTACAAATTTTAAAATTTTAAGAAGTCAATATTTTCTCTAGACAACATTGATTAAAGAATACAGGAGTCCAACAGTGTTGGAAAAACATTTGCGTTTGCCTAAATGTTAGGTCAAAGGGAAATTTGACCTAACAGTTCCCTTTGACCTAACAGTTATGTATTGACCCCTTTGTTTTGGGTGTGAGGTTAGTGAAAAAAACAGTTATGTACAGTCGATAATTTGGGAAATTTGTTCATAGAATCTTATATAAAACGAAGATCCTGATTTAATGACAGATGCGGGTGGCGAGGAACGAATAGAAGAAACTTGAAGATAAGCATTAATTTGATGATGGTACTGACCCCAGAGCAGAGAAGCACCGACCACACGCAATCGTTTTAATTGTTTATTAATATTATTATTATAAATTTTGTATCTGTAGCTGTGCATAAAAATTGAGTTGACTATATGGTTGTTTAACTAAATAATAATAAAATTGCTAGTTTTCATATTTTTCTAAGAAATAAAATAATAAGTAAATGCAAAAATACTAATGACATTTGCTTGTTTTTTTTAAAAAGTGAAATTGGTCAAGTTTTAACGTAAGCATGAAAATCAGGAGAGATAAAATGTAGCACGCTTTTGTTTTGTTTTTTTGTTTTTAAGTGAAAGTCTTTTTTTTTTTTTTTTTTCAATTTTGAACTTTTCTTTAGATGGAAATAAATAAATAAAATACAAAAAGATAAAGAGAAAATAAGCAGAACTTTTAGTTGTTTAAATTAAGAAAAAATTAGAAAAAAATAGATTAAGATTGATAAAAATGAGATGAAATTATATATATATTAGTGCAAACAAATAAACAAATTGTAATATTATATCCGTATTTACATCAAAATTTTCAAATATTTGCCCATATACCAATCTAAATCTATTGAATAATTATTTACCTTGTTTATTCAAAATATTTTTTTATGTATATTCAATAAACATGTTACCTGCTGGCATACCTACGAAACTCGAAGCTACCTTAGGCATTGCACCTTTGTTTCATGGAGCATCCTTACGTGGGCTCAGGCGCTCAGCTGCCATGTCAAGCAATTCGATTTTGTTTTTCAATAGCGTGTCTTCTTCTGGAAATAAATAAACAATATCTGTTTTTCTCACGGAAGTGAATAAGAGAGATACGTTTTTATTATTTTTATTGAATTAAACCAATTCGAATAAAATTAGGGTTCCTTTTATTTGATTTTTTATGAAACTATTTTAGAAATAATTAATACTGAAAATTTTGGAAAAATGTTTTAAAATTTGTTTTTATATTTAAAATGATATTATATAAGTTCATATATAAAATTATATTTTACTATACTTATGCATTTCTTTTGACATGTATTTTCATAATTTTCTTTTTATTTTGGTTTTTTTCTCCTCAAACTTCATTTACTCATATTTTTATTTTCTCTTCCCAAGCTTAATCAAAAATAATAATGACAGACTTAGGAAAGAAATTGTGTTTTTCTTTTTTAAATAAATTGTATACAAGTTTGTAACGATTAAATTGTAACTTGAAAAAAAGTAAATAAAAAATATATAATCAATTTAAGTTAACAGGCTATATAATGTTGTGCTTTAAGTCAAAAGCAAAATGTTAAAATGCCAACATAAACATCACAATTAGTTGGCATGATCAACTATTACCAATAAATGACACATCTTGTCTTTCATCGCCGTGATTAAATAGTTTTAAAGATAATATAGTTTACTAATGTAAATATATAGTTTCAGTTAACAAATATTTTTTTTCAGTTTGTTCTCATTACTTTCGGAGAGTTATCTATGGCAGTGACACAAATTTTGAAATGTATACAAAACTTAACTGGAAATTATATAAAATAATATGTTTATTCAAATAATTGATTAATTATTTCCAATATACGAATTTCACATGTACAAAGTATACTTGGACGTGCAACATTTAAGAATTAAAACTTAGAAGTACACTAGACTTGTGCTTTTCAGATTTAAGACCACCTTATGATTTTTCACCTTACACAAAAAAGTTATTTTGCTTGATATTTATTAATAGATAATTAATTTAACAGTTAAATTATATAATGTTATTTTTATTATTATACACGTTAAATATGATAAATTAAGCATTTATTAGTATGTAGTCTTACAATTTGCATGACTTAATAAGGTTTTTATTTTTCAAAAATTTGTAATTTTTTATTTGATATTTTATTTAATTTTCAATTTAGTCCTTTAAATTTTGTTTTTATTTAATTTTTATATAAATATTTGGTTAACTTATTTATTATTTATTTATGTTAAAAATGTTTTTGATTTATTAACTGTGATTTAACCGATAGAGACATATTTTTTAAAAACTGTTAAAATGTGAAGTAAATATCAATAGTTTATTTGAAGGAATGGTAAATTAGAAATGCATATAGTATGTATAAATATCTAAGGGGGTACTTGGAAGCTAGCATTGGGCATTAAATTCATTTGTTTATATCTATGTTTTGGTAGGAGAAGGTTTGTCCAGAGAAAGCGCGAAGGGTAGAGGGAGAGAGTGGAAATGGTTGGACTACGAGACATTGACGATTTGCCGAAGAACGCGGCCAACTTCACCGCCCTCACGCCGTTGTGGTTTGTAGAAAGAGCAGCACAGGTACACCCTAAGAGAAAGTCCGTTATTCATGGATCTCGCCACTACACGTGGCACCAGACTTACCAGCGTTGCCGTCGATTTGCTTCCGCTCTTTCTGACCGTTCCATCGGTCTCGGAAACACCGTATTTCTCTACTCTCTTCCTCTTTGCATATATATTTTTTTTCAAATAGAAAAAAATCCCGTTTCTCAGTTTTTTGTTTATTTTCGTCTAAGATTGTTGCTGGCAAACGTGTTTGCTCCGAATCTCGTTATTTCCTTGTCAAATTGATTGGTTTTTCCTACATGTTTCTGGTAAATGAGTAAATCGTAATCGCTGGTTTTCAACTTCACGTGCCTAACCGCCTCTCAAATATTTTTGGATTGTTTTGATGATAAAGGCGATAAAGGAAGTATGAAAAAATTAGCTTATTTAATATAAATATATCAATTCAGTCGTTGAATTAGTAAATTAGCTGCGTATTTAGTTATTTTATTTTAAAAGACAATAATTTATTTTTATTAGATAATCATTTTTTAAAATAAATTATTATTTTTCTGAATTTAAATATTACTGAATATTTTTTTTGGTAAAAATTTACTGAATATGTATTGATATTATGAAAATAGTTTTTGTTAACGTCGATTATTTTAATCATGATTTTGTTGATTATTAAATTTGTAAATTATCAATTATTCTTCCCTTTTCACTTTGATGCGCATTAATTAATTTAATCGTAGCGATCATATTAACGGTAGTTGATAAAAAAAATTAAATTAATTGATTTATTAGTATTATAGACTAAAATGCTTAAGAATTAAATTAATTGACAATTATCAAAACGACATATAATTTTTTTATCATATAATATAATAAAATAAATTAATAAGTGATACCAATTTTAATTATAACCTGATGTTTTGTTCTTTATTTTTGTACCGGAGGGAGAAGACTGAAGAGTGCCAATTAGCCGATGGATGTTTTAAGATATAGCTATTTTTATAGTTCATCATAAATCACTTCTTTTTTTTTAATCTTCTGAACAAATATTTGGCTCCTAAATTTAGTTGTGCGTAGAAGTTACTTGCTGAAATTATAAAACTCTAGTAACTCAAACACAGATCAACATAAAAAAAAATCACATTGATATCAATATTGTTCTGTGTTGTATAATGTTTATGATTCACACCAATCTAGTTTTCTTTGTTTTGCTTTTTAGGCCCAGTGCTAAATACCAGTAATGTAAAGTTAATGTAATGTATTATGCAATTTTCACATACTGATTCCAACAGGTAGCTGTTATTGCACCCAACATTCCAGCTCTTTATGAAGCTCATTTTGGGATTCCAATGGCAGGGGCTGTGTTGAATCCTGTTAATATTAGGTTAAATGCATCAACAATAGCTTTCCTTCTTGGTCATTGCACAGCAGCAGCTGTAATAGTTGATCAAGAGTTCTTTTCCTTGGCAGAAGAAGCTTTGAAAATATGGTCTGAGAAAGCCAAAACCTTCAAACCTCCACTTTTAGTAGTCATTGGTGATGAACAATGTGACCCTAAAGCACTTAGATATGCTCTGGACAAAGGAGCCATTGAATATGAGGATTTTCTTCGAAGTGGTGATCCTGAGTATGCATGGAAACCCCCAGAGGACGAGTGGCAGAGCATTGCTTTGGGTTATACATCTGGTACCACTGCTAGTCCGAAGGGCGTAGTGTTACATCACCGAGGAGCATATCTGATGTCTCTGAGTGGAGCTCTTATTTGGGGAATGACTGAAGGAGCGGTATATCTTTGGACGCTGCCCATGTTTCATTGCAATGGTTGGTCTTACACTTGGACACTTGCAGCTCTCTGTGGTACTAATATATGCCTTCGTCAGGTAAACTATTGTTTGATGGGTTTGGTTTTTGCTCTGCATTTAGTTGAGTGATTTAAACAAATTGGTGTTAACTGAATTGTATTGAAGCTTCAAGCTATACTGCATTGGCTAATGTTAATTCAAGCAGATGAATTCCCGTCAAGCACATGATTGATGATAATTTTAAATGATAGTGGCATGATTCAAATATAAACTGGATAATACTTTGACTAGGATTTCAAATTTGTGCTTCTATATAGTAGTCTTTTCGCAGTGTCCTGGTTGAGTAACTAGTCATAACACGCTAATTGAGTTTGAAGTCTAAACATTCTCGATGTATTCTTTTGTTATATTTGAAATGGAATGATATATTCACTTGTTTTCTGCTTGAAGCAAATATGTTTAAATAAAACAACATATGTGGTAAGGGAGCTTGGTTTTCCTTGAGCAATATCTTGATTTTGAGTCTTGTAAATAAATAAATAAAAAAGCAACCGCTAGCGTTTTGTCTACCTAATTGAGTCAACTTGGAGTAGTCGAGGTCTAAATGTGACTTTAAGATACTAAGGGTTTTTGACCAAAATATGTCTAAATACACTGCTAACTTGTTAACCAATGCCGTTGTCTACTTTGTTGAGACGTGAGAATTGTTTTCTTAAATAGCTAGTCAGTTAATGGTTATAGAGATATCCTACCTCAACCAATTTTTTTCATGGGTTTACTCAGGTAACGGCAAAGGCAGTATATGAAGCCATTGCCGAGTATAAAGTGACTCATTTTTGTGCAGCACCGGTGGTGCTTAACTCAATAATTAATGCTCCACCTGAGGAAACCATACTTCCTCTACCCCACCTTGTACATGTGAATACAGCTGGTGCTGCTCCTCCTCCTTCTGTGCTTTCCGGCATGTCTGAACGAGGCTTTCGTGTCACACACACTTATGGTCTCTCAGAAACCTATGGCCCCTCTGTGGTTTGTGCCTGGAAACCCGAATGGGAATCACTTCCCCCTGAAACCCAAGCCAGCCTCAATGCAAGACAAGGGGTTCGGTACATTGGCTTGGAAGGCCTTGAAGTTGTGAACACAAAAACCATGCAACCTGTTCCTGCTGATGGTAAAACTGTTGGTGAGATTGTGATGCGGGGTAATGTTGTGATGAAAGGCTACTTAAAGAACCCTAAAGCTAATGCAGAGACTTTTGCAAATGGATGGTTTCATTCCGAGGATCTTGCTGTAAAGCATCCAGATGGATATATAGAAATTAAAGACAGATCGAAGGACATAATCATATCTGGTGCTGAAAATATCAGCAGTGTAGAGGTAGAAAATTCTCTGTACTCACATCCTGCAATACTAGAGGCTTCAGTGGTTGCAAGGCCTGATGAGAAATGGGGCGAGTCTCCCTGTGCTTTTGTGACACTAAAGCCAGGAGTAGATAGTAGTAATGAGCAGCGTATAGCTGAGGATATACTCAAGTTCTGCAGGGCCAAGATGCCTGCTTATTGGGTCCCAAAATCGATTGTCTTTGGACCTTTACCTAAGACATCTACTGGAAAGATTCAGAAGCATTTGTTGAGGGCCAAAGCGAAAGAGATGGGACCTGTCAAATTGAGCAAGTTGTAAAGTGATCATGACGAAGACAGATGCTAGTCGTTGCTATTTGTGTAAGGTTATGATGATTACTGAAAGTTATCAATAATAATAAAAGATAAGCTTCTATCTTTTCTTCAGAAGTTATTGTTGGATAAGACAAATATGTCACTCATCTATTTTGGAGTCAACAAATCCATAGGTTCCATTATGACGTGTGTTTTTTTACCCATCATGTTCAGATAATGCTTCTATAAAGTCTTCCATATACTCCCGAGATTCAAATTCCTGAAATTTGGCTGACATGTAGTCAGACTCCTAACTAAATACATGAGCAGATGAACTGTTAATTTATACGCGCAGATGTCTGGCTTTAAAACTTGAATTCGTTGCTTGTTTTTGAACGAACGATTTTCAAGCCTATCTTTCAAAATCATTATTAAGCCACTTGAGCTCCTTAGTTGATTCCTGCTAGAAGTTCGTAACTTTCTATAAACGGACATTGGTTGATGATCAGCATCCGGTTATTCCTTGACAAAACAAGCTCCGTAAGTACATAAATTAAGGTTGGCAATCAACACACTTACCAGATATATGGCATGTTTATTTCACACGTCCCAAGAAATCTCAACCATCTATAATGTATGAAACGCTAGGTCAAGATGAGACAAGATGCAAGACAAACAAGTTAATATTGATCTTTCACTGCCACTTCAGGAATTGTATTTGAGGTTACGTGTCTCATATTACGTTATATTCTTATCACTTCTTTAGGGGAATCAGAGAACAAATTTTCTTTTAATACCTTCTCGCGGTGATTTCAGCATTGACATGTAACATCTTAAAGCTTATTGGAAAATAAAATGATAGTGCCGTAAAAGAAAGTCAAACCTCGTTCCTAGTGCGAAGTTAGAGGTTCCCAATAAACTGGCCTTGCAATATTTTAATGACATTATTTGATCAACTCTCTCAAGTATGTTACGTGCAGTATTGTTAGACTCGGTTTCTAATTTCATTCAATACGTCAGGTTGTTCTTCAGGAATTTATGGCCTAACTTACATTCAAATCTTATCCATTTATTAAATAGATTAAGTATTTTTTAAAAAATTATTTAATTAAAAAAGGTCGCGTTTGGAATAACTCAAGTCTTTTGGGTCTAATACACTAGTTTAATTGATTAGTCATAAGTAATAATATAATATTTTGATATTAGATATTTATTTTATTTAAATATTTTATTACAAAATAAGCTTTTAAAGTTTATATGTCAGGTCCAACCTTAAATAAATAAGTTCAAGTTTAGTTATTAAATTTGAGAATAAGACATTCAATTTTTGTAATTCTAACTTGAATTAAGTTATTTTTATAATTTTTTAATAAATACTTATAAGAATCAAATATTAAATCGTAAATGAATTAAACACTCCTCATAAATTAAGATAAATTTATATATTTTTTAATTTTTTTAGAAACTATTTTATTTAGATATTTTAAAATTTAAAGAGATGAATTATTTTTAATTTATAATAAAAACTTAAATAATTTTCATATTTATTTGTTCTCTTATAAAAAATAATTTAAAAGTTTAGTCAAACAGAAATTAGCCTAATTTCATTCTTATTATTGAATAAGTCAAAATGATGAATACTACTGGTTCATCCAAAAGTCAATAACAAAACTGAATCATTTTAGTAAAGAGTTTGGTAAATAAATATTGGCTATTTAGTATTTTCTTAAAACTGTAAAAAAAATCACTCTAATGAAATGATATAATTAATAATTTTTAAATGTTAATTTTTTATTTGATTATTATATTAAAAATTTACAGTAAATTAAGTTTATATATTTTTACTCATGCACGTGTATGAATTTGAGAGAAAGGGAGAGGAAATAGAACATGTTTCATCGTGTGATCCAGATTTCACGCAAGAAAAATTGATGTATTTGGTTCAGTAAGTGAATCGAGACAGTTAGATGAAAATTAAACATCTTAAAGTTCAATTTTATTAAATTTAATTTAAAACGTAAAGTTAAAATATGAGTCATAATCTTCATCCGACTTTTAATTGCTTCGAAATCAATATCCATTTTTAATATCAATTTTTATTATATTAGTTATTATAATAAAACTTTAATTTTGATGAAAAATAAAAAATACCTTTAAATTTTACTCTTTTTTTTTTTTTTCTTCATTTTTTCAGATTTTGACTGTATATCAGCAATGAATCTTGTAATTAATAGTTGTATGGTATATATTTGCATCCTTGTGCTTTTCTGGTTCGTCATCCTTTCAAAATGATGGGTTATGGTAGCAAATCTTATTCCGATAGGGCAATGGCTGCTCCTATACAACGCCTGGTGCTTCTCACTAGTTGGAAGTTGGTTTTCATGTTATTAAAAGTGTCTTATTTAATATTATTAATGTATTAAATTATATGTTATTTTTAATTTTTATAAATGTGTGTCTTAATAACGTCAATTTAAGCAAGACATAAATTTGTATTAAAATAATAAAATTGTTTTGGCACCTTGCCATTCTTGTAGTGAGCATGGTTAAGTTTATTTTGTTATACACGAGAGTGCTTATTAGATTGGTCTGAGTTGATATATGAATCTAACAATTTAAATCAAATTAGTTTGATTAATTTGTTATTTCACTTTTAAGTTCGAATCAACCAATTATAATTGGTTTAGTTATTGAATTTATATAATTTTTTCTTAATGTTTTTATTCAGCTTTTTTTACCCATTCATTTCAATTGTCATATCAAACATCTTTAAGTGTGATTATCCTTCAACATCTTTATCACATTTTAAATAAAGGAAATAATGAGATACGAAAAATTATAATGGTTGAAAAGTAAAATATTAATTATAAATAATATCATTGTTTGGAATTAATTTAATTAATTATTAAGAATATTTTTTTTTAAGTTTATGGTGATATAAAATTAATATATAATTAATTATCTCGATTGAAGTATTCATATGCTTTTAAAAAAATTGACGGATCTGATTTGATTTTATTTTAAATAATCTGAGAAAAGATTGAGTTGTGTAATTTGAATAGTTACCACTTTCAATTATATTATAATTATATAAAAATAATAATGAATGCTTTATTTTTAAAATATAAAAATATTAACTATCCATTAATTTGTGCCACAATAGGTTAGGGGTTATTTAGAGGATGTTCCCACTTTCTCTAGCCTTCTCAACGCGTCTACGGTTGGTATTTTAACATTAATTTTTTAAAACATAATTGCACATTTTAACACGAAATTTGCTACTAAGATAAATTTAAATACATTTAATCGTTTAAGATTAAATTTACGAAAAGTTACAAGAAACCGACGCAATGTACCACCGCTCTTGTGCGTGTTTACATCCATAAACTCTCTCTCTGTTGTTCCTTTCGTCTCTATCTCACTCTTCTGAAAAGGTGAATGTGAACACTCTCCCTGTATTTGCGTGTTTTCATGCCTTATAATATAATTGGGTATGCTTGTTTCAGAATAATATTAATAGCCTGTTTCTCTGCTCTCTCTGCTGAATTTGAAGGTTGATATTTCTGTTTGGGAAGATTAATTTGTGATTAAGGTCTTAGTGAGAGTGATTAATTGGTATTTCTGAGCAGGCAAACGCAGATGGCAGAGTGCAACAAGGAAGAGCGTGTCCAGGTAGCAATCTAGTCTCATTCTCCTTCTTCTTCTTTCTTTTGTTTTTGTTTTTAATTCATGAAAGTACTGTAACTGAAATATCTTTTCAGGATCATGAATTATTTGTTAAGATTTGATACTTTTTTAAAAATATCACGATTATTTATATATTCTCCATTTTTTTAAAGTTGTTTTTCCGATCCTAAAATCTTTTTCGTTTCCATGTTTTCAGATTTCTTCTATTAGGATTCATTTCTTTTGAAATGAAAAAAATAAATAAGCAAAACGATTTTATTTATTATTATTATTATTTAAAGTTAATTATATTTATTAAATATTTTAGTTCAAAGTAAATGTAAATAATTTTCTATTTTCTTATTTCATACACCTTTTTATTTTAAGCGTTTATTTGTGTGTTTGTGTACACGTCATTCTAAAAAAAGTTATAACTAGATAAAAAAAATTTATGATATTTAAAAATTTAAAATAATAGTTATAATCTTTTACAGAGTCTATAATTTTTTTTGAAAAAAAGTTGCTTTTTTAAGAGGTGAAACTAAAACAAAGCTAATCGAGAAAGTTCGTGAGAAAGAAAACTTTTTACAAAAACTAGAATATAAATTTTTTAAATTTGATAATTAAAAATATTTTTTTATTGATATTAGTTTTTAGAATTAGGTTTTAATAATTTAAAATAAATAATTTATCAGAGTATTTATCATTTTAACAAATATAATAAATAGTTTTTAAATATTTTTTTATTTTTAATCATTTAAAACTAATTTTAAGACTACTGTTAATAAAGTTGATAAAAAAATATTATAGTATTTTGAAAGACTATAAACATAAAAAAAAAAAATTAGAAAATGTTCTATTATGTTTTTTTATATTGTTTTTACTATCAAGTAAAACAGATGCTAGCATGCATTTTTAATTTTTTTGTAGGACCACGGTTGTGCAAATAAACGGAAGAATAATATTTTTTGTGCTGTACTAGCATTATTATTTGTCTTAGACACAATATATTATTTTTAAATTTGAACACTTAATCTTTATCAGTTCTGAAATTATAAAATTTAGTTTTTATTCTTAAAAATTATAAATTTTTATTTATTTTGTGGAACAAATCTTATAGTTTTTCTATTAAATTAAATTAAAAATTGTTCTCTTAATTAATTACCGATTTAAACAATGTTTTTGACTTACTTGATTACTTTATTCAACACATGAGTATTTTTAATCAATAATAAATATAAAATATATTTCTATATTATTATTATTATTATTAAAATACAATTTTTTTTGCTATATATTAAAATACAATTCTAAAATTGTTTACATGTACATAAGCACACGACACATGCTAACACTATTAACAGTAATTAATAAAAATATTTTATATAAAATTATTATAGTTTATATTAATATTATTAAATGTTATTATATTTAATAAAAATATTTATTTCATTTTTACTATGTGGCCCATTTGCATAAATTAATTTTTTTTCTATTTCTGATACAGAATTTATCAATTAATATATAAGTTATTGAATAAAAAATGTTAATACCATGATTTTTTTATTTAAATGCGCTTTTTATTTCTACCAAAATGACATTATCTTAACTAGGCCCTCGTTTTGTGTTGTCCAAACAAAACCAGCAAACGGACAGGGTAAAGAAATACGGTGGTCTTGGCCCAAAGAAGCCTTTGATATCCAAAGTAAGCTTATGGATAAAAAATTTATCAATATCACACTATAACACATTTATGTTTCTATTTTAGATTAGAAGTTGGAACTGAATTGGACTTCATACTCCAAATTATTTTTTATTTATTTATTCTGTTTTTGTGGGCTAAAACTTGAAAGGATCATGAACGGGCATTCTTTGATTCAGCTGACTGGGCATTATGCAAGGTAGTTTAACCTTTTATTTTACACAAATCTTTGATGTATATTGAAAATCCTCTTCCATGAAAGTGTACCCCATCATTTTCCATTTACTATAATTGTGTGGATATGAATCTAAACAGCAAGGTGCAGCAGTGAATCAACTGTCTACAACAGCCATAGAAACATTGCGACCAAAACTACATGTATGAGTGTGTTACATGGAATTTTAGTAGTTCAGATATGATTTGACTTATATAACATAGAGTGTAAGATATATAGACATGTTATTTTCCTGTTTACTTCTACAGAGAACACCCCACCAGCAGCTTTCTCCAAGAAAACCTGCCTGCACGTCTGGCCAAGAAAATCTGGAGATTTAGTTATAAATGTGTAGATGGAGTTACTGTAATAAATCATGAATCATGGTACAATTTTATTATTGAAGTTATTAAGTATTATTACATGATTTGACAATTTTTGTATTCATGCATCTTGCTGGGGCCCGAGTTGGCCTAGCAAGAAAAAGCGCGTTTCTCAGACAATAATGATCATTTTTCTGCTGTTCGATAAATTGATTTCAGTTCCATTTATGGGAAAAAATAAATTCTTCAGGCATGGAAAAATCTTTGAGCTAGTATTTTTTTAATTTTCAAAATAATAGTAATAATATATTTTTAACATATATTATGTGGTTATTATTTAAAATAATTTAAATATTTATTTAATAATTAATTTTTTAAATTTTATTTTTAACTTTTTAAAAAACAGAATAATTACAAGATACGTGTTAAAAAGAATAATTTTGTTTGCCAATAAAATTAAGCCACAGCACTGGTATAATTTTCGTACTAATTTGAGTTAACACACCATTTGGGTTTTTCACCACAAAATCACTTGCGAAGGAAAGTTTAGTGGCTCGAGAAAATATTTTGGTGATTTCCAAAAATTTTAAGAGGGTTTTTTCACCGCAATTTTCGAAATCTAGCGGTTAGTGTGCAGTAACAAGTGCTAAAAAAAATATTTTCTGTTTCGATTAGTATGGAGTAACGTGGCAAAGTTGCGGAATGGTGTTTTATTTGTTTTAGTAGAAAATATTATTAACATGGATATATAAATTTTGTTTTATATGAGTGAAAAATATATTATGTAAAATTCATTAAAAAATATTCACAAAATAATGAGATTTATTTTATTTTTAAATTCATATAAATATGTTAAATTTTTTTTTTCTAATAAACAAAGTCTAAAAGTCTATAAACAATAGAAACCTTAAGAATTCAATGCAGAAGATCAGATCTCTAGAGAATCTATATTAAGAAAATGCACTACAGGAGGAAGAGTTTTTATCAGAAAAAAAATTCAGTTTTAAACCCAAACTTAGCGAGATAATCTATATTAAAATTTTAAATGTTTTTATTCAAATAAAATATTTATTTTGTTTACTAAATGTAAATTACAATGAGATTAAGAAATAAATTCCTGTAGTTTGCATGAGAATTGCAGCAGCAGTTTTTTTTTTCTTTTCTGTCTTTCCTCTTTATTTCGGTTTCTCCTTCTTCTTCACTTTTTTTCCATCTCCACTTCCTCACTCCACTCCATCTCCTCAAGTTCACTCCCACCTAACCTCCTTTCCTTTTTCTATCTCTTCTTGCTTTAGCCTCACTCATCATCCCAGCCCTTTTCTCATTTCTTTATTAGCCTTTTTCTCTCTTCCTCTCCTTTGTGTTCTCTGCAGATGATTCAGATTGAAGGAAGAGAAGGAGGATTCGGATCCCAGTTTTGTTATGCAATGTCGGTTAGGTTAAAGGAAGGAAATTAAATAAATTTAAATTTTTACCACTGACTCCACTAAATGCACGGGAAAAGCTTTCAATTAAAAATTCATCACTTTTTGGTCGGCATACTAATCAATCTCGTTTGCCACCAAAATAATAATACTTATTAATTATAATTATATTTTAAAATAAAATTCCACAATGCTTTACAGTCTGACCCGTTAACTTTTTCCCACAACACACTCTTTCATTGACATTTTTTCCCCCAAACACGTTTATACATTTTGCTAATTAAATATTTGTTCTCGTGGTCATCTTGAATGAGAGAGATCGGGATCCGAACGCAACCAAACCGTATTTCCTGCAACGTTCTATATTTAAATGGAAAAAGTTGAACCCAGAAAAAAATTCTATTTTTTTACCACGACTGAGAAAATATATCAACTTAAAATAAGAAATAAAAAGCAACTTTCCTTATCATGCCATTAGAAGCAGACGAACATAAAGCAACGAAGCAACCAAGAAAGCATGGAGTTGTTCAGTGTTCATATGAGGGTATGAGTTTCATCTCTCTGAGCTTCTCAACCCAGAATCTGATACTCTTGAAAGTATCCACGTGCCCATGAAACCCGTATTCCCTACTCTTGTTCATACTAGAGACATGTTGGAACTTAAACTGTAGCACTGTTTGGACGGCTTCATAGCAGGAAATTTCCTCTAACTTGGTTTTGTGAAGACCGTATTTCTCCACAATCTGCTCCCAAACGCTACCCTTATCGCGCATCAACTCCCCCAAATCAGACTCGTCTCCCTCCTCGAAAGCCACAAACTCAACCTCGAACAGTTCACTCAGCAGCTTCCACACGCTCTTCCATGCAAAAACGTCGCCATTTGTGCAATTGAAAGCCTGGTTCTTAGCCTCAGGGGTAACAGCAGCCCACACGTGTTGCTGGGCCAACACCCTCGCGTCGCTCATGTCGCAGAAATGCTCCCACGTGTACTTTGTCCCAGGGTACCGAAACGGCAATCCTACGTGGCGACAAATTGCAGCATAGGTCGCCAGCGTCAGGAGCGCGTTGTAAACACTCCTTGACGACGCTCCTATAATGATTGAGGAGCGATGCACTGAGTACGTGAGCGTGGGCGCGTAGGATTGAACGAGATCCTCTAGCGCGTAATAGAAGTTGGGGTAAGGGAGGCGTGGCATGTTCTCGTGAAACGGTGGTTCGTGGCAGACGAGTTGGCTGGAGAGAACCGGGTCAAAAATTGGGCCCATGTAGTGTTTGGTTCCGGTTTGGACCGTGACGTGGCTGAGCCGGGAAGGGTTGAGAACGTTGAGAACGTTGAGGAGCATGGTTTTGTTAACGGTGACGTTGGTTTCTTCGTCTGCGTGGACCTGCAAGGTTACCCAGAAGAGGTGTGTGACCTGGTCCGCGATGGGAGAGAGCTTGGCGCGTGTGTCAGCAGAGTCAAGGATGTCCGAAGGGATGAAGTGGTCAACGATCGAAGGAGGGAACCATGAGGACGGAGGCCGCCGGGCCACGCCGTAAACTTTCCATGGGCCTCCGAGACAATTGGGCTCCTTCAGGGCCTGGGCTAGGCTAAGCCCAGCCATTCCTGTGACGCCAACCACTAGTGCTACTGAACCTTGGGACTCCATCGCAATTGGTTTCAACGACGAGAAAGTGTGTGGAATTTATAGAATGGGATAAAAGGTTCAAATTCATGCGTCTAGAGATAAATAAGAGGATATTACACTGTGTTGGGTAAAATAAGAGGGTACTTTATAATTTTTTATAAGTGAAATAATTATAACTATTAATTTTATATTAATAAATAAGAAAGTTAATAATTTATTTTAAAATAAATAAATAATCTTTAATTTTTAAAATATTAAAAGAATTATAATCCACAATTTAATAAGAATATACAATAAAAAATACCGTAACTAGCACACGCGTACTGTTATAACATTTTGTCGTTAATGCGCACGTGTAACCATTGCGTCTAATACCTGACAATGCGAAAGAAAACTACAAGATAATAGTGATACAAATACAAATAAAAAAATGTATTAATGTTTTAAAAAATATAAATAATACAGGCAAAAAAATAAATTTATTTTTAATGTACTGTAATCCATTGTATTGTCTCTTTTCGTCCATACAAATTACAAGGATTCAGATTCTGTTTCGTAACCGAATCTCCTGTCATGTTAATTTTACATTTTTGTTCAAACAAAAAAATTTTATTTAAACAAAAATACAAAATTTTGTTTGACTGGACTGGACTGTTCTGTTCGCACAAAAAGGAAAGAGAATTCCGGTCCAAATTTCAATGTCTATCTTTACAGCTTGTCGAACGCTGTCACTGTTGTCTTCTTCCCTATTTTATTTTATTTTTTTATTTTAATTATAGGTTCACACTTCCAGACCCCTCGAGGGTGGTGAGTCACCTTGAGTTGGCCCAATTTTTTTATTTTTATATATAATTCTTTATTTTATCCTTTATTTATTTTATTTTAATTTTTAAAATTTTAAATTTATTTTTAAATATTTTGTATTAAAATTTAATTTTGTTAAAAATGATTATTTATCTTCTTATTCTTTGTAACTTTTCTCTTCTTGTCTCTTCTTCTTTTTTTTTCAGTTTTTTTCTTTTCTTTTTATCTCCCATACAACTTATATATATGTATCAGTTTGCGTTGGTATGTACACTGTATTTTTAATCGAATATCAACAATAATTTTTAACAATTAATATTTTTATAAAACAATATAGTTTGTTTAAAACACTTTAAAAAAGTTAAAGAAATAAATAAAAGATACCCCATCTCAGTAAATTGGGCGTTTGGCTTGAGCCAAAATCGACAATTATAGGTGATATGACAAAATCGATGTGGGACTAAACTCCAAAGTGTATTGAAATGTTCATTTATTGCTGTGATATGTCAATGATCGATCCAGCATAACTACACATAGGATCAAAACCACGCACCACTATACCAAATATGTTACGTATTAGGTGTATGTAACTTTTAATATTTATGTATACCAGTTTAAATGTTTGTATCGAGCCAACGACCAATTTGAGTTTTACAACACCGAATTATTAGACCAAACTATTAATTTAGCGTGTAATTTTTTCCTTTTTATTACAAAATTAATAATATTTTTATCACACTTTTTTTTTTACCTCGTGCTACTTTTTTTTTTTTAAGATTATACATATATATATATATAAAGAATTAATATAATTTTTGTAATATTTAAGCAATTGTTTAGTAAATGTCAATAGCAATTAGAAAATAAATAAATTTTAAAATAAATTAATAGTTGAATTTTAATACATTGATAATAATTTTTTATATTATCATTTAACTATAGACTGTTATAATAACAAGAATAATTAATTTTTATAACAATAATATAAAGCTTATATTCATTATGTGTTTTGATTAATTAATAAATACAAATTTTACACCGTTATAAATTAAAAATGTTACTTAAACATATAGTATGTAATAAAATATTGTATATTTTAAATTATACAAAAATTGTATTGTAATTAACTTAATTTTTTAAAAAAATTTGTCAATTATAAATTATAAACTTTTAAATAATTTTATCAAATAAAATCTCAATAATACCAGGAAATCTATTAGGGTATGTTTGATTTCTTTTTTAAAAAGAATTTTCATTTTTTTTTCTAAATATAGTATAAATTTATACTATATTTAAAAACAAAAATTTAAAACTCTTTTAAAAATAGGAAACAAACATACCCTAAATCTCATATAATGCCTTCTTTAGTGGGTTTTAAGTCTCACGCTACTGATTGATTAACTACAAAACTTTTGCGGGCAAAATGACAAAACGATGCTTGTTTTACAAATTAACTACTTGAATTGGGCATATCCGGTTGTAGCTAATTGACTATTACATTAGCGCAAACCATCTAATTAACTGAATTTATGGTTTTAGTTTTTAGAGGATATCACAATAATAATTAGAAACCCATAAATACGAAGTTCAGGCCGGTCATAATAAAATATGGACACTGTGTCAATAAAAAAAATGATATAATGCATCCAAATTCAACTTATATATAATTGTTTTATACCGATAATTTTTATTTTTTTTGCATAGCTGTTTATAGTATAAATTTATTTTGTATGATTTTTGTTATCATATAATTATTTTTATCAATTTTATCTGCATAAATTATGTGATTAGTAGGCTGCACATTGTTCAATTTCCTTGACTTTTTAATATTGAGTTGGTTTAAATATTGTATTTTCAATCTTTAATTTTTTTTCTTTTAATTTTAGTTTAAAACTTGACACATTTGATAGCATAACAAAAAAAAAGTGTGAATCTCTCTTAATCATATCACCCCCAAAAAATCAAAAGCATTAAATTTACTCACAAACTCACAAAAAATAAAAAATAAAGATATTAGAGATTACAAAAAAATAAAATGAATTAAAAAATAAAAAAAATGTTAAAAATATATATACTAAAAGCATGTTTATTTTATTTATAAAAATATTTTTCTCTTAAAAAAAAAATATATTTTCTATTTTTCAAAATAGAAATAAACATGCTCTAAACTTTTTAAGTTAATGTATTTTCTCGGGTTCCTACACTCGTGTTTGCCATGCTGTATATATTTTCAGTTTACTATTTATTTAATGCAAAGTTTTATGTACACGAAATGTCCTTTTAAATCAATCAAGTGTAGGAATATAGTCAACGTCCATCACATTCATATCACCCCGTATCTATCTTGAGTCAACAACTAAGAAAGGTTATGTTATCTGGTGTTTCTATTATTACACATACATTTATTATCGTTTTATTTTAAGTAAAATTATCTAAAATACATTATTAAAAAGTGCATTCTCACTAATTTTTTAAAAGAAATATTTGAGATTAAAAGAAAAAAGAAATTAAACTAAAAATTAACAAAAATATTTAAAAATAAAGTACATTAAGATTAATAATTTTGTGGATTTTCTCGAGTTTTTAGTCTCGTGTTAGCTATGTTATATCATTTTTCTTATTCTACTATTTAATTAATGTAAAGTTTTATATACGAATTGTCCTTTCAAACTAATTAAGTATATGCATACGGTCACAATGTGATGCACGTTGAAACTTTCAACATTCATATTATCTATTATTTTTTTAAGTAATTTTTATTTTAAATTAGAGTAATAATAAACATATAAATATGATGATAGACAGTTTTTTTTTTTTTTATGTTATATTGTTTTAAAAAAATAATAAATTGACTTTATATCCTCACGGTTGTTTAGTTGCAATAATCCTCTTTTACCAAGTCATTGCCGGCTTAAAGGCTAAGCAAGTAAAGTTACTGATTTAGATATCAATTTTTTTTTATCAATAATATACATTTTTAAATAATAATTTAATAAAAAAAATTGTGCAAATAATTAAATATTTTTATTAAATTTATATTTATTTATTTTTGAATGAAGAGTTATAGTTATTGATTAAAGACTAACGGTTGAAGTTATAATTAAATATATGTATATGTATAATAATTATGTAATTGTATAAATTGTTGGCTTTTATTTATTAACTGTAAATTTACATTTTATTATCTAAAATGAAATTTTAAAGAACGTGTAATGTTTAATCGCTTAAACCTTTCTCAAAGAAGAAAAAAAAAACTTCATTGTATAAGGTTATCATTAAAAATTATTTGGTTATGGTCATTTTGTTATGTTTAGTTTGATTTATGCTAAGATGTTTAGATACTTATCCTAGTTATAACTCTTTCTGTAACTTTTTGCTTTTCATTGTTGATATTTAACATGACTTTTTAGAAATTTCGAATTCATTTTTGTACATCTAATTATCTTAGAACCTATCAATAATGTCCTTACTTATTTAACATATTATGTACTTAAAATAATAAGTTTTGAATTTAAAATTAATAATTTTGGTAAATTGAAAAAATATTTAATTATCAAAACTATTAATGAAAAAACTCTATATTGAATCATGATTAACTAATCATAGTATATATTATTAATTTGATTTTTTAAAGATAAATTTATGGCATATGTTGAAAAAATTGGAAGTGCAATGTCGGAATACATTAAATGTTTTATTTAAGTATTTATTCAAAATTTTTGACACAAATTTAGTGAAAAAATAATCAAAATAAGATAAAAGGAGACTTATTTTTGAGAGCCTGTAAGGAATTTATTAAAATATGAAATTTTACGTTCAATTTTATTTTCGCTTAAAACATTCGCTCAAGTGAATAGCTGAGGGTCTGCAATTTAGCTCTTTGGGTCTGCAAAAAATGGTTGCTTCCATCATGATCTTGAACTGCACCAAACACTTTCTCATTTGTCTCACAGTTTTGCTCATAGTAACTTTGTGGGGTGGAAGAATAACGGGCCTGAACTTGGTGTTTGCTGCTGTTGGTGTTGCACGTTGTGGTGTTGCAACTTTGGAAGCTTTTTGGGTATGAAAAAAATGGTTGCTTCTAATATCAACCAATAGACTAATAACATGTATATAGTTTCATGCAATCGTGAGTCTCCTTAGACAGCATGAACTCATCTCGTTTCCCAGCTATATGAGAAGGAAAAGTGAAAAATGTAACGGAACAAAAGGAAAACTGGTTCGCTCTAGAGCTTCGAGGCCCTTTCACTTACTTCTTACTTGTTCTCTGTTTCTCTTCTCTCAACCAATTCATTTATTGTATTTGTGAGCTCAATGGTTCCAAAGTACATCTTAGGTTATGCTGTGGTTATTGCTTTTACTGTCTTGTTCTTCTTGATCTGTGGATACTTCTTGAGCAGTCATGACAAACCCAAATATTGGCATTGGATGAACAAAATTTCAACCACGACATACCTTTATGAAGGGCTCTTGATGAACCAGTACCAGATAAATGATACCTCTGGGAAAGTTGGTGGTATACCCATTGCCGATTTTGATATCTTGAAACGTTTTCACATTGGAGTTGATGAATATAAGATGACAAATGTGCTTATAATGTTTGGTTGGGCAGTATCCGAGAGCTCCTTCAAGGAAGAAAACTACACCATTTGCAGCACAACAAATGCAAAAGGATCCTCCTCCCAAGCCAGTGAGCTAGGCCTCCATTGATCCCAAATGAAGATGAATTTGGGAAAAAAGATGAATTGGAAGACTTTTCCTGGACTCTGGCTCATGTATGAGTGAAATCTTGGGGAGCTTTTTCTCAGGATCCACCCCACAAAGTTACTATGAGCAGACAAATGAGAGTGATTGGTGCAGTTTAAAAACATAATGGAAGCAACCATTTTTTGCAGACCCTTAGCGTATTCGGTAATGTTTTAAGTGAAAAAAATTGTTTAGGCGAAAATAAATCTAGACTTCCAATTTTCATGTTATCGGGAGATGATACGAATAATTTCAATCAAGAGTGAACGATAACTATCGCCCCACAAAAATGCCAAGTATTTCTATCTTAATATAACGTGTCATCGCATATATTTCAAAGATAGAAGTCACTCTGCTGCATAAATTACTTCAACCTGCTTATCATGCTACGAGTGTTTATGTCAAATCTGTCCACAACCAGTTAGTTCGGCCAATTGGAAGCTTCCACATGCACAAGCTGTTCCCCTGGCACCACCACGAGGCTACACAGTCAAGCCATTTGTGACCAATAAGTAACCACGTCTCTCTCGTAGTCGTAAAGTGCTTATTTTTATTATATAGTTAAGGTCTTTCCCAGTCATGCTGTTCTCAATTACATAATGTGCGAACGCTATCGTGTGTGTGTCGGTCAATTGGAAATAGTATTCTAAAAAAACACTCGCCGCAATTAAAATTGAAACTTGAAACACAGAAGAGACTATTATCAAATACCATTGAATTCGTTCCGATTCTTTTTTGGACATTTTGATGGCATGCCTCAAGAAATCATGGTTCATTCCACAAGAATTTCCAAGAACTCTTCAGTACCCTCTTTCACGTCCAAGAACTCACATTTTGACTATTCCATTTTTACTCATATCCCTCTTCCTCCTCTTAGTATCATCATACTCCAGAAACTCGAACGCACCTAATGCTGCTACTCTTGTGTCTCTTTTTCCATTTTCTTTGAGTTATTGGTTGGCTCATCGCCCTGTTAGTTTCTCTAACTCCCATGTGGTTCCCAAAAAAGCTCATAGCAAAGGCACATTTTCTTCAGTTACTGCTGCAAAAAGAACTCACGACAATTCAACGTACAAAGATTCACAAGTGATCAAGGACCTCACTTCCTGTGATATCTTTGATGGCACTTGGGTACATGATGATGCTGAACCCCTTTATCAACATGGGTCATGTCCATTTCTTGATGACACCTTTAACTGCTTCAAGAATGGACGTTCAGATTTGGATTATGTTAAATATCGATGGAAGCCACGTGGATGTCACATTCCAAGGTCCTACCTCTAACTTCTAACTCAATGTGTATGCTTTTTTCTTTGGTCTTGAACATTTTCCTTTTCGTAAATATACGTAGGTTTGATGGGTTGCAAATGTTGGCCATGCTAAGAGGTAAAAGGGTGGTGTTTGTAGGAGACTCCTTGAACAGGAACATGTGGCAGTCTTTGGTGTGTGCGTTGAGGGAATCTCTCGAAGATAAGAGCAAACTCTATGAAGTTTCAGTGCGGCGTCAATTCAGGTCTCAAGGTTTTTTCTCTTTCAAATTCAAAGTAAGTATGGTTGTACTGTTTATTTGGTACTTCCTGAACCAGTTATAGTACTTAATTATGTTGCATGCAGAAATAACGATTAGAAAATGATATTATACATTCGCTAGGTGTTTATAATTGGGTAAGATGTGGTAGAAAGAGAGAAAAATTGAAGTGGAAGAGAGGTTACAATAAGCAAGTGTATAAATATCATAATACATAACTATTGTGTTCATTGTTAATAAAAGTCTCGGCACTTCATTCCCAGCTATGATCATGCATTTTTGTAATTGAACCTTTAAACACTTTGTAATGAGAAATCTTAAATTGCTATATGCTTATTGTTTAACATTGTGTTTTTGCTGTCATGCTAGGATTATGGATGCTCAATAGACTTCGTGAAATCCCCATATCTTGTTCAAGAATGGAAAAATTCACGCAAGGGTGCAGTTCAAAGAGAAACTCTCAGGCTTGACATGATCCAAGCATCCAAGTCTCAGTATCATGATGCTGATATAATCATTTTTAACACAGGCCACTGGTGGAATCACGACAAGACAAGAAACGGGTGAGAATTGTTCTAATTATCCACTCAAATAGTTCTAAACTGTCAAATGATGCATTACTGATTAGTATCAAGTTTCCTTCTTGCAGCAGAAATTACTTCCAAGAAGGTAATCAGGTTTATGACAGATTACAAGTTTCTGAAGCACTAAGAAAAGCGCTTAAGACTTGGGCTAAATGGGTTGATTCCAACGTGGATAGCAAGCGTACAAGGGTCTTTTTCACTGGATTTTCAGCTTCTCATTACAGGTAGATTGACAATATGTCATTGATGGAAAAAAAAAAAAAATAAAGAAAAGAAAATGTACTGAATTTGTTTCACAATTTACTTAAATAGAGCATGCTAATTATATAACTAAACATCATTAGTTAACTGATTGTGTGAAGTGTAATTGGCAGAGGGGGACAATGGAATTCTGGAGGTAAATGTGATGGGGAGAGAGAACCCATTACAAATGAGAGTTATCTAGGAGCATATCCATGGACAATGAGGATGGTTGAAAGTGTGATAGCAGAGATGAAGACACCAGTGTTTTACCTCAACATTACCAAAATGACTGATTATAGAAAAGATGGACATCCTTCAGTATACAGAGAAGCTGGTTACAATAAAGGCTTGAGGATGGTCCTGCCCCCTCAAGACTGCAGCCACTGGTGCCTTCCTGGAATTCCAGACTCCTGGAATCAGCTCCTCTATGCCACTCTACTTATAGCACACCAAAATTTTCTCATTACTCAGATTTAGATCCTCTATTTCACTCAACTTACGCCATACAAAAATGTTCATGACACAAAGTCTTCATATATAAGCAAAGGACCCTGTGAGCAATTATTATGGGTGCTTGTATGCTGTAAGTTGTGTGTTTTTCTATTCAAATTCGTATTACAGTATGTTTATACATACGTTTGAATGGGCACAGACATTTACTTCAGGATTGCTGGTTGTAGTTTTTATATTAGATATTATGGTGTTTCTAAACTTATCATAGTCTGTCACACAACATACGGAATTTTTAGAATTTAAATTTTAAAAAAATAAGAGAGAAACATTGAAATTTTAAAAAAAAGTTTAGCTTTGTCTTTTTTTTTTTTTTTAACTAAACCACAAATATGTCATTATTATTTTTTTTTTCGCTCATCAAAATATAGCATAACATATCATAATGGCTATCAATTCATGTTTATTTTAATATTACTAAATGTATTTTTTATATAAGATATTAATGTGTTTCTAAACTCTAACTTAATTTGTTAGATGCGCACCACATTTTTAGAATTTAAATTAGAAAGGAAAAAAGAGAGTATTTCTTTTTAAGTTTGTATATATTTTTTATTTTTTAACTAGAGAAATATATTATTATTTGTGTTAAATACTTAGAAAAAAAACTGTGACTTACAATAACTTTATACCGCTCAAACAAAATTATCTCTAAATACACGTAGCTTTAAAAAAAATAATTATTTATTATTTTACTTGTCTGGAACTTCTCTTCAGATAGACTGCATCTATATCATGTTTTTCTCTCTTTCAAGAGCTCTGTTACAGGGAGACTGTTTGAATTAATGTGTTGAATAGTATTGCAAATTTTCAATCACGATAAAATCGATTTCAGTGTTTCCACAACAAGCTCACAATTCATTTCCACCACTGATGTACTTCTTTCTAAGGCATCCCGTTAGATTTCGAGTTTAACTTTAATGTGTTATTAATGTTGATTTTTTATACAACTAATTAATTAAAATATACAATACAAATAAATTTTAAATTAATCATTCTTTAAACTAATGATTTTTTTATTAACATAACAATATATAATTAGATACAGTATAATTTGTTTTTCACGCAATCTATTTTGATTAATTTTTGAATTATTTTGGTAAGTTACTCGTTAATTTTTAAAGCATATAAACTTGACCTTTTAATTTGTTTTTTGAAATTGTATCCAAACTTATCAAAATATGGGGAAAGTCATCTTCCTTTTATCCAAAGCAAACGGACTCAACGAATTCTAGAACTGTGTTTGTAGAATACAATAATAATAATAATAATAATAATTATACATTGATTAAAAAGAGTAGGATCCTGGAGTTTTGTGTGTTACATCACTATGTCGTTTATGTTGAATATAAAAGTATAAAATGAGGAAGATTATTTATTAGCTTCCATCTCCCTCCCTCGCCCGAAACGACGAGTTTAACTTGACCCACACGCACTTTGATCCTTCCTTTGTATTTCTCCTTCAACTGCGAACCGTGCTCGTTGAATTTCACCGATAGGAGGCACGTGGCGCTGGCATTCCTTTCCGGAGAAGATGACCATCGACTTAGATTCCATCGCTCGCAAAGTCGATGTTGACAATCGCATTCCCCTCCGTTATTACTACCGTATTGCCGATAATCTCCTCAAGCAGGTATTTCTCTCCGTCAATTTCTATTCATGTACTCAATTACATAAGGATTTAGGGCTTTGCCATATTACTTCCAATTAACCAATTCCTAGGTGAAGGTTATACTTTAATCCTTACTGCTTTTTGCTTATGCTTCGTCCTATTTACGATCGCTTTAATAGGCCGTGTTATTAGCCCTAGTTAACGATGCGATGCAGGGCACCACTTAATTAAGATGTGTTTTATGTGACTAGAACTCGTTCACGACTGTTACAAATCAGTATAAAATTTGTATGTTAGTGCCAGAGACGGAATTGAGAATGTTGTGTGAGTGCTTGTGGCTTGGTGCCCTAGTAACACCACCTGGAACTGGGAATATATATATGCTGGATTCATTATGCTATCATGCACTGGTTCGTGTCATAAGTTTTATTTAGAGCGGTTTGAACTTTGATTTGATGGACATATGTGGTTGTTGCTTTTGGATGTTTGCTTTATTCCTTATGGGTGTTGGGTGAGTTCACATCAATGATGAATTTCGTTTTTGTCTTCAGGCAAGTATCTACAGGGAGGAGAATAATGTTGTTGACTTGTATATCATTCTCCTTAGATATATAAGGTAAAATATGAAATTCCATGGATTTTCTTTATGGCGAACTCAGTAGTATGATGAGGTTAAATTGAGTATAACCTTTTCATTTTTTCCCCCTTAATGTACCTTTATTCTTTTCTTTTCAAGTTTGCTGTCTGAAACCATACCATATCATCGAGATTATCAAGCTTCACATCCTAGTGAAAAAGCAGCATATAAGAAGGTGAGAAACGGCTTTGCCACTTTTTATGGTAGATGTGCATATGTGTTTATTTTATTTTTTAATTTGAACTTTGGTTGTGCTGCCCTTATCTGTCATTTTCCATTACAGAGATCGCTGTATGTATTGGATGAGCTTGAATCTTTGAAGCCTGAATTTAAACGCCGGTTGAAAAAATTGAATTACTCGCGTGCAGAGGCTCCATTGCCTGAAGAAAATGACTTCAATAAGGCTTCGCAGAGTTCAGTGAATTCATCTTTGGAATGGCCGGCTGTTAATAAAAGTTATAACTCAAGCATGGATTTTAAACAGGTAAGGACATGATGATAAATTTGTAATATTATTTGCTGAATACTGAAATTCTCAATCTATTTGCGCCTGTGCCATGGTGCCTCATCAAGGTACAACTTTAGGTGCTTGAAAAATTTCATTTTAGAAATTTTCTTTTGTTGGCTTATTGCTTTTATTTTTATCAGTAGGCCTTTGTGGTGGAGTTGTGTAAATTGCACAAAACTTACAATTTTTATCCTCTAATGTGCTTGCATTGTGGTTTGGACCTTTTACTATTGTTAACTCTTATTTTTTCTCCTTACAAATTTGCAGCCTGCTGAATTGGGTTCCCACTCTTCATGGAGTTATAATAATAATAATAATATGTTATCATCAAATTTTGTGCCCATTGACAAGCAGTTTCAGAAATTGTAAGTTTTTCTATCTAATCATATATTTTTGAACTTTTTTCTTAACAATTTACGTGGGGCCTACTAGCAAGAGAAAATCCAAGGTTGTTGAATTGGGAATTGAACCGTAGATTGATCAATAATTAAAAATAACACATAGCTAACAAAGTAATATTAAAGCACAAATTCATGATCAATAATTAGAAAGTATAAATTTAAGAACATTTTAAAATAAAGAAACATCTATATGTTAGCATTTTGAAGTCAAATAATTCACTATATAGCTAAAAAAGTGGCATATACATTTCAAAATAACAAAGCAGAATACAGCACAAAGACAGCAACAAAGTAGAGAAATACCGGAATAAGGCAGGGAACTGATAGACAGTGTTAGAATTAAGAGAAATTAGAGTAATAGAAAGAAGGCAGCAAAAGTTTGTTTTGTGTGGGGGTACAGGCAGTCCGCACTCAGCATGAAAATTTGGGGGACCAGCTGACCAGCCACAGCCAATGAAATAGTATGAGAAGCAGGAAGGATATAGTGCATGTGCTGTGTGGGGTAAGAGGTAGAAGGTGGAGAAATTGAGAAATAAGGTTCTTTTTGTTTAATATTTGGTCTAGGTATCAATGGAGGGTAAGAATCAGCTGCCTACTTCTCGCGTAGAGAAATAAAAAATGGTATGTTTTTTAGGGTTTTTTCACACCAGGTTGCACACAACCCGACCCATTTATTTGCACAACCTGCAAACACAAAGAATTGTTCAATTCATGTGAGTCAAGTGTGATCCCTACACTATGGTTGCGATTCAGCTGGGAGCATGACTCGTATCGAATCAGACATATAGTGTTGTGAATTGTTGATACTAACTACGCTGAGCTAATCATTGTAATTATGAACTGGCGAGGAAATCTTTGGGTCTAGGCCATTCTAGGATATAAATATGTGGCCATGAAAATTATGAACTTGGAGGATGCTTGCTCATTCTTTTGGCTTCCATTTTTGTCTATGATTGAATATTCTTTTGTGCATTTAGATTTCGAAATGGATTTCATCTCACAGGTTTAGCGGTTGGCATTCTATCCTGTGACCTGTTACCCAACAAATACGGGTGTTGTTTCAACATTATTTCTTATTTTAGGCCGGCAAAACTCTGCTTACTGCTTCTATACCTCACGGAATCAAGTTTTAATGCTTTATTTATATGTTGTAATTGATGATATGCCATTTTCATTCAGCACACCTTTAGTGTGACACACCCTTTTGTCTTTCAGTAGTATATATGTTTCTTATTATCCATGTGATTTGAGACGTTCTGTCTTGATCACTCAAATTATATTTCTAAAGAAAAATCATTCTGCTATATTGAAGGAAGAAATATTATAATTATTCTTTTGACTGTGCAGATCTCTTAGTCTACCCCTTCCAAAGAAGGAGACTTTGTCCAGACACTCATTTTTAGGACCAAATGGTCTTCGGGGCCAATGGCTTGGACCTAGAGCAGAAATAAAGGTAAAATTGAACTGTATCTTTCTTATGTTTGTAAATATGGATTGTCTATATTTTTGAATTTTGATGTAAGATTTGTTGAAATTATAGGGTTTTAGGTATAGAGGAGGGAAAGGGGGAGAACACAGATTGAACACTAAATTTTATATTGATTTGATATGTTACAAAACTTATAGCACCAACCCTTATCTATATTTATACTAGACTCATAGTCCTAATTAAACGAGGAAATAAATAGATAAATATAAGGAAATATAGAAATCAATCTTAGGAGTTAATCTTAATATACTCTGAATTATTCTAAAGGTACAGTCAAGATATTATGAAATATTTTTCATACATTCAAACAATATTATTCAATATTGTGCAGGTTCAATATCCAAGCAGTAGTGATCTCATGCAAACCAAAGACTCAAGGTATGTTTTGTTTATTATAATTTGACATTGAGTTCAGTGTTTTTTTTTTTGGTTGTGTTTCTTATATTCATGGTTTGACTCACTTATTTGACAGAGATATTATGGAGTTGTTTAATTCTCATATTCCTAATGTTTTGTATTCTGGATTTTTTGGTCAGTTTTTCTGTCCATTACAATTAGTATTCCTTTATTAAAACATTTTTTGTCATTTCGCTTTTCTTATTAATATGTTGTTTCTCATTGTAAGTTTTGTTCGCTGAAATATAACTTGCCACACACTTACTATTTTGTTGTTCTTGCTGATAGCCTGAATCAGGCTGGGCAATATGATCATGTGGTAGTTAAAGATGATGATCAAGGACCAGCTACATCCACAATGGACTCAGTTCTTGCCTTGGATGATGGAAGATGGTTGCATCCTTCTGTTGAGTCCCATCCTCCCGTTTTAACTGAATCAAGGGAGGACCCCTTACAGTTGCTCAACATCAAGCAACCTTTGCCTCCTCCTGTTCTTGCTCAGGTGTATCCGGAATGTGCCTCGATTCCTCCTTCAAAAGTTGCAGATCCAAGGCCTGGACCAGCTAAATCTTCTCAGGATTCTGGACTTGGTCCCTCTACCTATCAACACCTACATATTGTAAGCCTATTTTAGTTTTCTAATTGAAGTGTGCAACATGTGTGTATCTTGGATTTTCTTGGTCATTCCTTGTGACTTGTTCTTATTTGTGTTTTTTTTTTTTAAGTTTTTATACTGGGTAAAAGTTATTATGATTTCACTCTATGTTGCAGCCTGTCAAAATGATGGAAGATTTTTTGAGATTAGCTTCAGAAAACACACGGAAGAACTTGGAGACATGTGGTGTTCTTGCAGGGTCCCTGGTAAGACAAGTCAAAATTTTGGGTACTTCCAAGTTCTAGAAAATATTTTTCATTCTAGTTTTAACAGTTATTTGTGCTTTCAATTTGGGTGGCTCTAGAAAAAAAGGGTTTTCCATATCACAACACTTATAATCCCAAAGCAGGAATCAACTTCAGACTCGGTAAGATCATGGTCATATTTAAGTTCTTGTGTTACATTTTTTTGTTTTAAATAATTTTACAAGCTGTTATTATACTCTGTCTCACTATCTCTATTCCTTTATTGTTCCATGGTTAAAAACCTACCTTTTATGCATTTATGTTACTCCAACTATATCCTGTAAGAAAAATAAATCATTAATAGTGCTTTGAGGTTGTGGTGCACAGATGTGGTGATTGGTGAATCTTGCATAATTGGTAATTATCTGTATCTGATATGATTTCTTAGTATTTTTAGTGGAAATGCTGCTTCAACCTCCACTTCAATGTTACTGTAAATTACAATTATTAGAACTTAATTTTAAAGACAACTGGTTCTTAAGTCAATGGAGTTGTCCTTGGGAATTCTAATGACTGTGATAGACACCTGCTACTGAGGTGTACATGAGGAATGGTAGAAAGAAAGATAGTGGATCAGTGCATAAGTACAATATGACCTGCATCATAACAGACTGCCTACATGGCAGTAGAAAAGGGGTGAGAACTGAGAAGGAGAATCCAGTTGTGTCGATAAGTAAGAGAAGGGAGGGCAGAAATTGAGTGAGGAATTGGGCCTTGGGGAAGGGTGGAAGGAGACCCTCAAAGTTCTGCAGTGTTTCCATCACAAGTTTTATGTTTGAGAGAGTGAAGTTTTCCATTGGTTATGATATCTTAATTAGGTTTTATTTCCACTATTTGTGATCAACTACATATACTCACAAAGAAAGCTATAATGCATAGTATTTATAAGGTTTAATTTCACTTTTAGTGGGTTATATGTGATTTTGGACCTTTAAGTTTGTGCAAATTTAATTGTTACATAAAATCGTTACAAATTGAATTGATTAAAATTATCTTCTATTTCAAAATTAACCAACTAAAGTATCAAATTTAATCCAGAATTAAAAAAATGCTTACATTTTTCTTCTTCAAACCTTAATTTTGCATATTATAAAATTCTTTAAATTTTGTCAATTTTTAAATAACTTTTTTACTTTTGAATTTTTAAAATGATTTTATGTTCCAATTTTGTTACAAACCCTACAAAATTTTGAATAAAAAAATTGAACGTTTTTAGTGCAAGAAAATTGATGCGGTATTAAATTTGCACAATTTTAAAAATAGAGACTTAATTAGCTCAAAAAGGAATTGGGAGACCAAAATTACACATAGCCCAAACTAGAGGGACAAAAAGTGCAATTAAAACTATATATATGAATAGAGCTAACATATTATCAACTACTCATTAGAATGATAAGATTCAATTGATGATTTTTTTTTCCAATGTCTGATATTTTCCGATTCAGAAATACTGCATCTAATTGGATTTATTATTCAGTGTCAAACATTGAACGAAGAAGAAATATTTGAAGTTCAAGACAGCTTATCACTTTTTCCTTTAGGTTGGATACATGTAAGTGCTCCATTAATCTTGGCTGTTACTTATTCATTTATTTAATTACTCCCTCTCTTTTTCTTTTGTTTTTTGACATTTTTGCAATTTTGTTTTGTTCATTTTTCATTGTCATTTTATAAAATTAATGAACAATTAATATTTTTTTTACAATTTTACCCTTAATATTTAATGCTTGCTTGGTAGAGGATAATAAATGAGATATTAATTAATAGAGATGAAGGGCATAGTAGGAAGTTAAATAATAATGTTTTATTAAACTTATAATATCAATTATTTTTGTAATTCCTGTGCAAAACTTTAAACGTCAAAGCAAAAAAAATGGATTATATGCATGAGTAATATGTTCTATTCTGTGTGGTATTTAGTAATTATTTTTCTTCTTTCATACCTCCCCGTCTACAAAGCTTCTGATTTCTGAGAAGGTTGCGGTCAATGAAACTTGTGTCACTTGTGTTACTCTCATGTTTATAGAGTAGTAAGAGTGATTCATTAATTACTTGCTTCTCTTTGTAAGCTTGATATAGACTGAAAAATTAGAATTATTCTAAAATTATCTGTTATCAAATAATTTATTTTCTGAAACAGCGATATCAATGAATAATGTTACACAGGTAACAGAAAAGGCTAGAATTTTGATTGAATTTAAGGGGGCTGTTTGACAGAATCAAGGTAGTCAAAATCAAGCTTTTGCTTAGGATTGTGTAAGGGGAGTAATAATCATAAATCATGGGATTGGAAGATCATACAGAATCAACATATTATACATGCGCATATTAATAAAATAATCTTTAAAATCACTCACTACTAACACTTTATTAGATGTAAATTGAAAACCTATAATTAGGTCATATACAACTTACAAGTCACAAGATGAGAACACTAGTTGAACCAACACCCATAAGATGAAAACTCCTCCTTCTCCACCCAAAATCCAGTAAAAGGAAAAAAGAAATAATAAAAATTGTTATGCAAGAGCATGTTTGATTTCTGTTTTAGAAATAGTTTTTTGTTTTTAAAAATAAAATTCCTGGCAAAGGTTCTTCTCTTTCTGTTTCTTTTAGTTGCCACCCCATCTCTAGTCTTTTGTCATTATCATAAAGATGATTTTAGGAATCCAAACTCCTAACAGATGATCATATCTTTCAGGATTTGCTTGAGTTAGTTCCTACCAAAGATCCCATAAGCCATAACATGCTGATGTTTTGATTGTTGGAATGATGCATCAATAGCTTTTACCCCATTAATAGGTGCATTTGAAGACAGCAAGCCTTTTTAATTTCAAGCATCCTTTTTCTGTGACACTAACCTTTTGTTTTTCTGTGACACTAACCTTTAGTTACAAACTTCAAATATCACTCACTATTTATTTTATTTCTCTTTCAATTTCAGACACACCCATCACAGACTTGTTTCATGTCTTCCGTGGATCTGCACACACATTATTCATACCAGGTAATAGATTGCTCTGTAATTTCAATTTCCTGGCTTTTCTCATTATAGATTAAAGTGCTAAAGCAGTTGGCATAGCCCTATATTTAACTATTGGGCCTAGAGCAGACATAGTTGTACTAAAATTAGATAATGGATTAGTTGGTGGTTGTGTGGTAGTATTGTAGATTGTTAGGAAGATGGAAAACAGCTGATAGTGTCATGTATTTTAGCCTAAAATGTGTGAGAATTTTAAGTGTAGTGTATAAAGGAACAAAGCCAATAACTTGAGTTTAAGATTTTAGTCAAAACAATTGGAGTGCAAGTTTTATTTTATTGATTTAATAAAAGAATTTGAAACATTCCATCAGCAACTGCATGTGACATTTCTATATTTCATTTTAATTGTACCTAACTAATGATAGGGTGTATCTTTTGTGGTTAATTTCAGATCATGCTACCAGAGGCAATTGCTATTGTCATGGCTCCTACAGATACAACAAGGTAACTGTTTTTTGTGGGAGCGGGTTGACCCTTGATCAGAGTCTGAGTAATGGGCTTCATTTTACAATCCCCCCCCCCCCCTCTCTTTCCTCCTCTTTCAAAATCAGTATTTTCTTAGCAATAAGTTGACTGTCAGTGAGGACGTACAAATGGCATGTCAATAAATAGGTAGAACCTTGAGTCCTTGATTAATATCTTTCAATCATAGTAATTGGCTTCTGGAAAGTTTTTGGGCAAGTAAAAGCTAACAGCTACCTACTTACTCAGATTGATGTTATCAAGTGTACCTTAGACACTATTTTAAGTCTAATGCTCTGCATCAAAATATGGATATAATATTTTAAGATAGTTCATTTGAGAAGAAATTATTATTTTGATTTATTTTAAATTGTCACTGATTAGAAATATGCATTGATTTTGACACTGCAGTCCGCATGGCATATTCCATCTGTCTGATCCAAGTGGTGTGTCTGTAATTCGTAACTGTCAACAACGTGGATTTCATCCCCATGAGGAGCCTTCGGATGGAAGTCCAATATATGAGCACTGCTCTCATGTTTATATGAATGCTAACTTGAAGTTCGATGTCGTTGACCTTCGAGAGAGATGATTGATTAGGAGTGTGGGCTCTCCTGATAAACCTCTCTTCACAAATTACAAGCACAGTGATTTACTGTATCTTTTTCTACCTGCCGCGATGCTTAAAATTGCATTTGTATAGGTGGATTCTTTTGTATTTATGAACTAAGAGAGAAGTTAATCGCCAATCCCATGATTTTGTACTATATCTGTGGAAAGAGAGTTTTGTGTAAATGCAGTAATACATACATTATACGCAGGTGAAGAGGTGAGAAATGTAACAAAATGACTTAAATGTGATATATCATTTCATTAAATCTTACATGAAAAAAAATGTGGGGTGGGGGTTACTTCGACGCTATTACATTACAAAATATAGTATTTTTTGAACTTACAAGTTTTACATTGGAAGTTGTATATTGAGAAATAAAAATAAACTTATAAAAGTTACAGATTACGTTGTTAAAATTATAGAATTTAATTATTCAGCCTGACTTTTATTATCAGCTTGTAACTAGTAATTTCAGAAAGGGTAAAACGGTATATATTTTTTATTTTATTTTTGGTCAACGATTCATTTTTAATTGAAGTGTATCTTGTAAACCTGATGCGTATGCTAGAGGCTGGACTTTAATATTTCTGGGCTCTTTTTATGAAAGCAGTGAGCTGGGTTGAGGGAGCTATTTTCAACTCAACTCAATTTGTTTAGGTAAAAAAATAAAAAAAAAACTTAATTTGCTTGTAACTGAAGGTTATTGCTTTTTGCACGTGACTTTTAAAATTTAGCTTTTAGAAGAGTAATATTTTTAGAATCTTACTTTTGAAATATATAAAAAAGGGCAGTGTAGTTAGTAAAAATTGGAAGCAAAGGGTAATATCCATAAGGTTGCATATGTATAATCAACATATATTTCAAAATATTAAAATATAAGTTATTACACAATTTAACTAAAACTGTACTTGTATTAAATATTATCTCTTTAATTTAATCCGATTTAATAAAATAAAATATTTATGTCTAAATTTATAATATTTATTAAATTTAAAATTTTAATTTAACAATAACTATGTAATGTACGAGGAATGTATTGGTTATTAAAAAAAAACAACTTAAAGAATATAGGTAGGAGAAAAATGACACTGCGTTATTGTTTTAAAAATTTAATAGTAAGTTCGATTAGATTGTGTCAGTTGGAAAAAAAAGTCTAAATTTCTAAACTATAAAAATGGATATGTGCATTTTCTTTGTATATCAGTTTCCATCACTGATACGCTTGAACACTTGATTGATATGCATCTTTGCAGTACCTTGTACCCAAGTTTTTCTTTGAAGTTATTATAAAAGCCTAGTATAGCTTGGATAATCCTCAACACGGCTATTGAGGTAGATTAGATACGTTTCAAGTGAATTATCCAATTATTTCACTCTCTTTTATTTATTTATTTATCTTTCCTAATGACAATACAGACAACCATTGTCTTAGTTTGTTGGACAGAGTAGAAGACAGGATTCGTCCACACAGCAAGCAAAAGATAGCAAAATGATTCCCTATATTTTGCTTTTACTTATTTTTTAAAAAATAAAATTCTATATATATCTTTAAAATTTGTGTAGTTAAAAAAGTCACTTTTTATTTTTAAGAGTTTTTTTTTTATATATCAGTTAAAAATAGTCATGTGATATACGTATAGTATTTGAGTATTTTATGTGATAATCCAATTTATCATGATGTATTACATTCAAAGGACAAACTGAACCTACAAATCTAAAACTTACCATTTTACATGTGGATGTGGGACTGGGATTATATTTGGAGTTCTGGTTTGTCTACATTTGTATAATGCATTATTTTTCTCACTACCTGTCGCTTTGTATCACATCATTTATTATATCTTTCATTTTTTTTTCTCTTCTCTTTCTAAGAGTATAACAACTATTTCCTTATGTAACTAGTGTGTTCACTTACGAGACAGTCTTATTCATTGGTGATGCATGTAGCTGTGAAAAAAAAAAAAACTTATTCACCTTTTAAATCTCATCCAAATAAAAAAAAGAAAAAAAGGTAATCATATCACAAACAACCTTCGACTTTCATGCTTCTACTCCTATCTATAAGAGAATATAGATACAGAGCTACATCTTGCCCAATAAAGCAAAGAGCTTATAATAACTTTGGACAGAGTTTTATGATTTTTTGATGAACCTATGCATCTTCCTCTAGCCATAGTCACTTGCTTCGCTGTTTGGTGTGTCTGTGTCTCCCTCTCTCGGTTGGATTGGATAATGATTTATTTTTTCATTTATTGTGATTCTTCTTTATCAAGTTTGATGAGAGGCTCATACTATCTCCATATATCCACAATTAGGGTTTTCATGCAGTCATATATCCTAACAACCACGGATGAGAGCTAAGATCAATGATTGCCTATAAGATTTTAACTGAAATTATATTTCCAATTTTAATATCCATTTTTGTAGGTTTGACTAATGGGCACAATGGGCCCCTCTAATAAATTTGAGGAATGGTCCCTTACCATTGGACTGATACTCGCCTTGCCGCATAATTTATGAAGATATATATAAAACTTATATTTTTATAAAATTTTGTTTGGTGTTAATATTAATACAGATTCTTTACTAATATTAGTTAATAAATAATAACATATAATAAATCATGTACCATTATTTTTATGTATATATATATACATACATTAAAATATATTCCAAATTTAAAGGAGACACTTAAAGATGTTCCTTATCAGTAATTCATAAAACTTATTCTATATTAATTACTTTTAGTGCTCACAAGATAGGTATCCTTTTTTTATTTCCTTTTTAAATAACTATTATGATTATTAGTTGTGAGGAGAGGTTGTTTTGTTAAATCTTTTTATTCGAATAAAATTTCTAACAAAATGATCCATACTTACACCAAAAATCATCCAGGATAAAAAAAATAAAAATCAGTCCCCAACAAATTAAAGTACAATATGACCATCTTATTAAAAGATATAAATAATTTTTAATTAATTAAAGATTCATTACAAGGTGTTTATTCTGAAAATACGCTTCATTTTATTTTAGGCTATTGAAATTAGAAGTGAGAGTTTTGTGTGACATTGTGGAGAGTCTTGGCAAGCTAAAACACCACGAGTGAATTGATGCTCCATTTTCAGTTTTTAGCTTCTAGTTTTTGCAGCTAATTTTTTAATTTTTAATTAATTTATTTTGTGAAAAATATTCATGAATGTGATTAACACATTAAGTCATCCATTACAATTTAGATTTTTACTACATTTTAACAACCACACTGTCAGTGATAGTTAGAGATAGGTGAGCACACTCCCAAACTAAATTTCTATGTCTATCTTTTTTATGGTGAAGTGGAGGAAATAAAAATAGATAAAATTTGCAACCACATATAAAAGTACACAAATAACAGCTACCTTGGCTCTAACAAGATAGCTGGTGAGCGTGGATTCATAAAAACCATAGGGTCAAGGTGTCCTAGTGACACTCAACTAATAAAACAATCTACTTACTAAAAGTTACTGTGATTAATGCTTTCAACCAAAGAAAATAAACCCTAGATTTCAATATTGCTCAAATTTGTAACAAACATGATATCTTCATCATTCTTCAAAACCCCCAAGAGAATCTATACTCTTGGTAATTTATTCAAGAGCATGCATGCATATATGTAGAACTAGAAATTAAACTTATTAACATTTGAGATCATCTACAAAAAGAGTTTAATTTCCCCATTGGCTCCACATTGGCAAGTTGCTGATGGTGTTTCCACTTACTGAAAAATCACTTATTGTATATATGTTTGGGTTGGAGTAAGTAAACGTTTGGCACAGCAATTACTACGCAGAGTGGTCTATGACCATTAAAAACGTGGCCACACGGTAACGCCCTTCTTGTTTTACTCATTTAATTCTTTTATGGAACAGTTATGCTACATGAATGCTTTCTCAGTTGAATGCTTTTCCCTTAGTCTAAACATATAGAATACACACTCTCATTCTATTGACTCAAAATAGACAAGCACAGCCATATCTCTCACCTTATGCTAGGTGGCATGTGATCCAATAAATAAATTTGCCAAGAATGGAGTGTCATTGATGTTGACAAATTCACTAACAGATTGAAGAGTTGGTTTACCACACTGGCCATGTTGGATAAATATTATTAACATATTTTGTTATTATTTATTGAAATTTATCAGGATTCATATATATAATTATTTAAATTTTATTTTTATGAATTGTACGCGTAATTTGTTTTATGTATAGGTCACGATAACTTTCATTTAATGATAAAGAACATATTAAAAAAATCTCAATAACATTTTTTACTGTATATTAATATTACATTTCATTATGGGGTAGAGTTATATTTAAGTGCATGTTTGGTTTTTTTAGAAAAAGCAACTTTAAAAAAATTATTTAAGTTAAGAATTAACTTAACATTTTAAATTTTTTAGAAACTAAAATGATAGACTTATTCTTTAAAAATTAAAATAAAGATTTAGTCAAATTAAATTAAATTTGAGTGTTTATTTTTTTTATTTGACATTATGTACTTTAAAATTAATTTATTAATTTCCTCCAAAAATAGGTCACATGGCTAATGGGGGTAGGTTGGGAAAGGATGAAGACTAGAGTACCATACCAAATTCGGAAATTCGTTTAGAGGGATATTTTAAACGTGGTTCACAATATTCGACTTCAATGATAAAGAACATGCAAATTTTATATATTGTAAAATATTTGTTTTAAGTTTAATACATTTTTACCTCTGTAATGAATGAAAACAAATGGTTTATTAATTATTAATACATGTACCTAATTAGATACATTATTTTTAAAAACTAAACAACGACAGACATTCTAAAATAAATTCATACATTATGAAAAATTGTCATATATTATTAAATAAAATATTATTAACATAATATCGTTAGTATAGTTTTATTTAATACAAACTTAAAATATTTACATTAACAATTTAATTTTTTACACACAGAAATATATCTTAACATATTTTAATTAATCTAATGTTAAATAATTTTTTGTACTTTAATATATATATATATATATATATATATATATATAAATTATTTATAAGTTTAATGCGTTTGGTTCTGTGCTCAGGTCCCTCCATTAGTTACACTGTTGCAGCTTTTTTAAGTTTCCCGACAAATCTGTCACAGGTATATACTTTTCTGGGGTGATTCAGTGAACGTTGGGTAGGAAATAAATGCTCAGAAAAAGAGAAAGAAAGAATGAAAATATTCTAGTCTCTAGTAATTTTATAGCAATATAAAAACGACTAGTATATAAAATTTAATGCATAAATATAACACACTGACAGCTGAAGCAAAATTGGGAAGTGAAAACTTATGTTTTTCCTTAAAATTTCTGTAAATTGTGATGTCCACTAGTTGTCTAATTATCCCTCTCCTTTTCGTCGTTTCTTTTTCATGGCTATGAATCTCTGACTCATCTCTATCAAACATCCAAACAACACCCCTTAACCGTATTCGCGATCATGGAAATAAATTTATCAATGTGTCAACGGAGATGTCGGCCTCTGAACTCTAAACTGAGCGAGCAAGTGCTATCTTGCAACAGTACACTCTTCTTCACCTTCCTCTCCACTGTAACCGTTCCACACCTTTCCTTCATCATTCTTTGTGCAATATTAACAACCCCTGTAATTTCACATCATCTTATATTGTGTCCTCTCTTTACACCCTCGCATATCGCATAGTTTTAATCTTTTTAATAAATGATCTTACCTAATAATTTTACAAAAATGTTATTTCTACCACTTAATTTGACAGACATTTGAAGAATGAATATCTTTGAAATATATATATAAGATTGATTTTTTATGAATCAAATAATGAAACTGGTAATTTTAATCTTCCTTGAGAAGAGTGTAAGAGGGTGAAGATATTACAAAAAATTATCTAAATTATCTTAGAGAATGAATAATCTCATTCTAAATAAATTCAGAAAGTTAAAACGTTGTATAAAAAATTCTCTCCATAAAATAACTTACACAGACCCTATTTCAAAATATACTTTTTCATCATTGGTTCTAACTTTTCTCACACCCTATCGTTATACTTACATGACTGATGACATCATAAAAAATATATACTACTTAAATAAGTTCTACCAACAATCATTGATAACGCGGGAAAGAAGCGGAATTGGCGATAGAAGTAGGTAAATAAGAAATGAAAATTATTATGAATAGTAGGTTTAATGTCTGTCCCTAGAATCAAACCCATTTATTACTCTGACAGAGAGAAGGGCCAAAGCAAGGAAGTAATATAGATCCTATCCAAGAATCTTAACAAATATGTTTTTTTAAGTTGATCTTGTGGTGGCAAAGTGGCAGTGAGGGGCCTATTAAGTAGCAACCTCGATTAAAAAAGGTAACATAGGAACACATTCTACCCTGCAAAATCCAACCCTTCTGTCAGAAAATTAAACCTATGTTCACTTGTGTAGTTCTACTAAAGATTCACACGTCCACGTCGTTGTTCCCACTCCCTTTATATATTTGCTACAGTGAGGGTGCAGTCCCATGCAATGACTTTTCATTCATGAATAGTACCCTCAGCTACTCCATCTGTCTTGGCGCCTGTGAGTACTGAGTAACACACTACTCACTGTACTTTTTTTGTGTGTGTCCCAAACACCATTAAAGAGAAAAAAACCAAAGGTCCAATGGGGAGAGCTCCTTGCTGTGAGAAGGTGGGGTTGAAGAAAGGAAGATGGACTACTGAAGAGGATAAGATTTTAACTGAATACATCCAAGAAAACGGTGAGGGATCATGGAGGTCCTTGCCCAAAAATGCAGGTAATTTTATCCATAATTTCATGTATGCATATATGTATGTACACGCACATCATGGGGTGCATTTGTAGTTAAAGATTTTGTGATTTGTTTGTGTTACTTGGTTGATTAATTGATTGAAGTGGCTATAATATATGTAAATTATTGTGCATGTGAAGGCTTGTTAAGATGTGGGAAGAGTTGTAGACTGAGATGGATCAACTACTTGAGATCAGACGTGAAGAGAGGGAACATCACTCCTCAAGAGGAAGAGATCATTGTCAAGTTGCATGCTGTTCTCGGTAACAGGTGCGCCTCTTCCCTCCCATAACAAATTCTCTTAACTGTTGCTGTTCAAAACTTGGAATTTAATGATTTTCACTCGTTGAAGTAATGAATACTCAGTTAGAAAACGCCATTCCAACGTGCTGTTTGAGTGATATAGATCATAACAGCAGATAGAGAGGACCTTGCATGTATTCATTCTAATTTATAAGATAATATAAACACATATTTAACATATTCTTTCATCTATTTTTTTTCTTCCTATCATATTAAATCACTTTGTTACGTCTATTATTATTATTTATTCTCTTCCTATTTCTCTGTAAACGTATACACTCAATGGACTATCCAAATAATATTTGTTTATCTATCTGTTTATCTATATATAATTTTTTTAATATATCGTTTTATTAAATTTAAAATTTAGTATCATTTGATGACTCGTCCAATAGTTTTTTTATCAAAAGTAAATTGTGTGAAATGTGAATATATTTAATTCAAAACAGAAATATTTCTTTGCTCATCCTCCCGCAATCCACAGTAGAGAGGATACCATCCGTGTTTCCAATTTTTTATCTTCTGATGCGATTGAAGAGAAAATAAATAAATATAAAGTAGAAGTATTTAAAAAAATAATATAGATAATAGAATTTTATTTAAAAATTTATATTTTAAGCCCCTATATAATTGTTTTATTACATTTTGTCGTGGGAGGGATATAAAGAGGTTCCTCTTTCTTCTACATTTATTTTTTCCTACAACAAAAGGTTGCCTAAAATGGGTTTTTCTTACTAAGAGTGTATTTATCCTTAATTGAATCATTTTGTAAGTCAAGATCAAATGCAAAGAATTTATACTTTGAGATTTATTTCTTTTACTTTTAGAGAATTTATTTAAATTTAAAATTGTTGTTTGGTTGTAGGTGGTCAGTAATAGCAGGACATTTACCAGGTCGCACGGACAATGAAATAAAGAACTATTGGAACTCTCATTTGAGGAGAAAAATTTACTGTTTCATGAAGTCATTAAATGAGTCCCTTCCTCCCATTGACATGGCTGCTGTAAACGTAGCAGCCACTTCCAAGAGAAGAACGAGTCGAAGCATAAAAACCCAACAAGCCACACAAGACGACAAGAACATGCCTTTCATCCAAAACTCCTCACAAGAGAACACAAGAGAAGTGCCTAAACTTCAACCATCAATGCATAAAAGAAATGTCACTTCACAAACTTTGAATGATGATGATGACATTAAGGGTTACACTAATTTGGATGCTTATTGTGAGATTGTGGACAACACAAATGGTTCTATAACAGCCTCATGCCCCAGCATGGAATTAGGAGTTGAAGCCTTGGGACCATATCAATGGTTAGATGATGAAATTATGAAACTTAGTTACATGTTTGAAAATGGGGTGCTTGTAAACCAAGGTGGGATTGTAAGCAATGAAGAAGGGTTTAGTAGAAATAATTGTGGACTAATTGGAGAGGATATAATGAGTGGAAATTATGAGGAGAGTAAGGGTGGTGTTTGGAGCTCATCAAATGCAGAAAGTGGAGAGTGGAACAATAGCTGTTCTTCAGTTAATTCTGTGTATGATTATCATCAGTGGCCTGATATGCATTTAGAAGGTAGTGTTCAATCCTATAGTCCTTGGGATCTTTGTGAAGAAGACCAGAATGTGACAAGCTTTTGGGGTACTAGCAATTGTGAAGGAAGTGGCTTTTATCAGTGATTGAATTCAATTGGGGAATATGACTTGCATAGTTTAATAAAAGTTTATTCAGAAGATATCAGTTTCTAGATGTGTTCCCAAAGATATTAAAAGAAGTTGAAACTCGTTTTGTGCCGGTGCAGTTTAGAAAATTTCATTGGATCATGATTCCAAAATGTAGTGAAAATTGTTTATCGAGAGGAGTGTACTAGATGTACCAACAAAAAAAAATTGTATTATTTGTGAGTTTATAATTACTTAATATTTCAAATTTTCTGAATAATTAGTTATTTTTTTTAATAATATCCAACTTTTTTTGTAACACAAATATTTTTTAAAGTTATTTTTCTATAATTTTTTTTTATTTTTATCGATGCTATATAGTATTAAAATTATCACCAAACATGTATATTTAACTTATAAGAAATTATTTTAACTTAACATGTAATTTCAATAAATATAATTATATTAAATATTTTAAAAAAATTAATTACTGCTTAGAATAATCTTATCTAACTCAAATAAAATTGCATCTTTGACTAAAAAATATAATACAATTATAACACATTTGCTATTTAGATTACTTTAAGTTATGGATGAAATGGTAAGTATAAAATAAAATAAAAATATCTCTAAGTAATTATTATAACACATTTTTCTATTTTGTCTCGTATAAAAATAGTATTTTCTTTTTATTTTCTACGGTTAAATTTTTACCTAATCGGAGTACCTTAAGGCTTAAGTTGGCAAAATGACCGTCGAAAATCTCAGTCGCTAATTTTTCTTTCATACATTAAAAGTTCAATAAATCCGATCACGATCGCAAGATCCTATAGTCACTAGATATCTCATATATATCTCTCACGTCACTTTCATTAATTCTTAGGATATTACCATCATATTTGTTTCTTTTTTCTCTCATATTCTATATACATTCTAAAGAGTGCCAAAATAAAAAAAATCAATTTGCATATTATTGATCTTTCTTTTTTAATTGCTATTCATAATTGTCGCTTCAATCCATCCATCAAATCAAATCAAATAACCTTTATATTTATTTTCATTTTTACGTAGCCAATTTTATTTTCATTTTATGACACATTTAGTTTCTCACACATAACACCACTTCGTTTTCGTGGATTAATTTTTTCTTCATCTTTCACAATTTATCCCTGCAAGTAACACTCTAGTCGTTCACGTTCTGCCTTAAGGAAATTGAGAACTATCTCCCACTCATATTATCTCTTCGTATTTGTTTTAAGTTTTTCTAAAAACTAACCGCAAGTAAAAGTATTGTACAATGAAAATTGATTTAATTATCAAACGTAAATTCCATTAAAAAAAAATACTAAAAACACTTTGGATATTTGTCTATAAATTTTCTCAGGAAAATGATTGAGGTTTACAAGATGGGGTAGAGGGCTACGTGAATTCATTTCTCTCATTTGTTTCTTGACAATTAGGGGAGCATGAAAAGGATATAACTTAGAAATTGTAATTAATGTTGTTTCAGACTCACAAGAAAAGATGATTTTTTTAAGTCAACTGATAAAAAGCAATGAAGGAATTAGTGTCAAGTGTTATTATAAAGGCTAAGAAAAGCGAGACATTTGTCTCTTGTCTCTCATAAATATCTAACAAGCGACTTGTCATTAAGGGGCGGGCACACACAATAACTATAATTCAATGTGAAATGCTAAAAATCATACATAACAGCAAGAAAATCACAATCATTGAGATGCTATAATTACAGGATTTCGGCCACGAAGTCATCAACCAAAGAATTAAATATTTGGTCTTCAACCTTTGCACCAAGTTCAAAAGTATCAACCTCAAAATCTAGCCATCGTCCATATGGGTTGCACATGTCTCTATCTACAAGCTCATCAACCATGGAATCTCCCATATCCCTCCAACTTGAAATTTCCTTGTACACTTCCTTTGCCAACCATTCATTTCTTCTTACCATTGCAACTCCTTTGGCCCACATTTTGTATCCCCCACCAACATAACGCCTGCATCTTAAGTCCAAACATTCACTCACACAATCAAATATGACTTTCCTTCTCATCCTACTCTTCCCACCATCACTCTCAGACCTTCCCTTTCGACTCTCCAACTGGTTGAACAAGTGAGGGTTCACAATGTCACGAGCTCTACCAAGAGCAAAGTCCATGTACATCAACTCCACATTACACAATACATCATTCACATAATCCAACTCCCATCTACTACTTGAGCAACCAAACTTCATTTGAGAAAATGCATTTGTGTGTTTCTTTGCTGATGCTGAACAAGCTGAATCAAACAACTCTATATCAGCTCCTGTAGGATAGTGCCTCCTTGATGAATTAAAGCCCACAACTTGTTTCCTGGAAGTAGATATAGTAACGATTAGCACTTCAGTTCTGACTTGTGAAATAACTAACTTCAAAAGAAATAATATATCGCCTATGTTCAAGCAGAAGCTTAGTGCTGCTTTTACCTTCTGTTTTGATCTTCTGCACTGGAATCATTTGTGTGGAATGAAGATTCACAGCTTTCCGTAGAAAAAGAAGGGTCAAGAACAGACATTGAACTAGGCTGTCGGGAATTGAATAATTCTGCATCCACAAGATTGCTCTTACACTCCCCCATCTCATCAACCTGTGAATATGTGCCACCAATTAACATTAGGGTAATTCTATAATATAATGCAGTTGATACTTTCAATAAAAATGTCCCTACTAGTAGTTTTAACCATATTTTGTTTTAACATGCCAACCTCAGTTTCACATTAATTGCATAAAAATTAGCCATTTGCTACTGGAGTTAACCAATCATCATAAATGATTAACAACGAAAATGTTAAGGCACGGATTGTCAGATTTGGTAGATTAAATTTGAAAATAGTTCAGGTCAAAGATGTAATACCACCTTAAGTGTAGAAAATACTGCAGAAGTTGAATAGAATAGCTAAGACCACTATAGACAGCAAATTCCAACCAGCCAAGCACCATAAAAAAACTATAACCTTTTTTCTTTTCGGGAAATGGAGAATTAATCATCTCTTATTTTTCCTTCTTGAGCCAAATTTTACCAAATAATAAGCAGCCCTAACTTTTTCATTGTTTGGAAATTAAACTAAGTTGCCGATGTTGTTCATACATGCTTGAAAGAGGATAATAAACCAAAACAAAAGGAGTTAAAATATCCTCACATACCCCAAGTCTATGTTTGTATGATAATTCTGGAAGACAAGTGTAGGAAATGTCAGATTCAGGGCTACCGAATAACTTTTCTGTCAATGTCACATCTTGCTCTTTCTTCTGTTGCAACTGTGGAATGAGGTTAACTGAATTAAGGGTGGGCACCAGATCTTTTGATGTTGGTGGAGTACTAGAAGGTAACCATGCTTTGAAAGAGTCATCACATGAGTTCTCAACTCCACATGTTAATTCCCTTAACTTTTGTTCCAAAAGAATACCTAAGGCATCACCACCAATCCCATTGTATCCTACTGGAAACCTTGTACTGTCAGTGTCAAGCAACCCTCTTTCAATATGCTGATCTAAAAGGCCATTAGTCTTCAAGCCAGCTTGTTCAGATGTCTCAAAACCAGAACTGCTCCTTGTCAACGGCATGCTAAATGTGAAGGAAACTACATCCGTGTCTTTCTTTTTTACTTCTTCAGCCCAACTATGGTGTTCATTACTAACTTTAGATTGAACAAGCTTCTGAGTTTTGTCAATGAACAAATTATCAACAACCCTATCATTCCAGTCCCTGTCTGTGGACCTCTTCTTCCTAGGGAAATTATTTGTACGAGTATATAAAACTTCCTTTTCACTATCTGTCACATGCATTGATGATTTTTTAGATCCAGCTTTAGATTTTGCAATGGATTTACTACTAGAGCTTCTATGACGTCCATGAGAGGAATCCCCCCCAGTCAAAAGTTTTCTACTATGTAAACTGGAAACTAATGGCTTAAATGGTAGTTTATCTTTATCGGTTGAGCAATTCTGTTTCAGATTATTTTGCCTGAGAACACCAGAAGCATCTTGATTATAAGGTTTCTTTTGCAAACTTTTTCGAACATTTGCCTTCCAAAGCTGGTGGGTTTTTATGTCACAATGTTCTTTTTCATCCACCAAACTTTTTGCACCACCTAAACTCAAGCCTTCCTTTTCCCTTCTTTGAACATTAACTTTTGCTTGGATTGCAAGTGAAACAGACTTCCCTTTATTCTTCAAAAAAGAATGTTCTCCTTCTTCAGTAAGATATCTAAGAGGTGCATCTGCTGACCCATTCCAACTTTTGTTGAAAGATTGTCCCTTTAGATGCTTAGAATAATTAGACTCAGCTGACCCTTGTGAAGGTTCAAAAAATCTGCTGGTTCTATGAGGAATTTCTCTTTTTTCTTTTAGATCTCTAACTTTAAACATTAGTGAAGATGACCCAATTAGTGGTCCTTTTTGTGAAGTCTCTACTTTATCTTTGAGATCTCTAATCCTCAATGACACTATTGATGATGCTACCAAAGGTGTTTTAGCCTTTGCAGTAGCTAGGGGGCGGGGTTCAATAATTCTTGCAGCAGCCTCCATTATGTAAGTAGCATTATTTGCTGGAACAAAGCCAGGGCTCTTAATAGGGGACAAAAGTTTATGGTGTGTAACAGGAATAGATTTAGCTGATTTGGGAGGCATTACTTCAGTCTGAAACTTTTCAATTGGCCTGCTTAGGGTCTTTTGCGGTTTTGTCTCCATGAAGTTCCTAGAAGATCCCTCAGACTGTTCAATCAACTTTCCAGAATATAGAATCTGATGACCATGGAGATGATTGTGATTTGTCTTCCAATACTGCACATCTTGAAGAGATTGGCTGTCAAAGTATGGATCAGGCAAACTGGAAGAGGGCAAGGAATCTAATCCCATTAGCTTGGCAACTACACTAGGGGCCCTTGTTCCACATACTTCATCATCTATAACAGATGAAGCATAACTATGATCGTTACTATCTCTAATGCTTATCCCTACTCCAATATCATCTTCGTCCACCTGAAAGAACCAAACAAGTAACTACCAAAGTTTCATTACAAAATATCAATGGGAAACAGAAGTGATTGCGATACACCCACCAGAAAGGGATGTGTCATTGCCAAGTTGCCATCAATTTTTCTTCTCTGTTTCAAAGACTCTGCAATTGATGAAGAATAAAATGATACCAAAGGCAAAAAATGAATAGACCAATCATTTTATAAAGTACCGCAATTAGCCAGAGACATAAACACTTCATCACATTCTATACAATGTTTAATGTACCTGGTGAATCCGACTTGGTTGCAAATAATTTCTTACGAGATTTTGAGGTCCAGTCAAACAACTGGAAAAAACCACCAACATATCCACCTTCACCTTTTGTTGCTTCTTTTTCAACTCTCATTTTCAAAGTAGAATTCAATAAACCTTCGTGTTATATCAGTGAAATAAAAAGAAAGAAAAATGAATTATGTTAGTCAAGCAAGATATATTTGATGCTAAGTTTGGAGATGGATGGAATGGAGTGGGATTGGATGTAAAAAACTACCATACCGTTGTTGTGATATTTGATGATGGAACGGAGGAAAGTTTTCCATTCCATCGTTAAACGAAATAATATAAAAATAGAAGTATTGAATAGATACTACTCAACTCATGAGTTAATAAGTAACCAATAGCATGTCTTCCAAATCAATAGAAACTAAAAATACAAGTCGCCCGATCAAGTAGACAAATTTAAATAACCTAATTTAGATTTGGGCTAAAATCAAGTGTAAATATATCAATCTTAATGAAAAGGAAAGATAGTGTAATGTTGGTGAAAAAACAATCTCTTGAATTTATATGCTCTTAGGCATCTAAAAAACCTCACATATCATGCAGTCTACTATTTGATTAATAGATTCCCGGGATCCATAACGAAGAAAGGAAAATAGAGACATGTGCAATATATGCTTATATACAACCATTACTTCTCTTGCCCAATCCGATCTAGAACCCCATCTATGAAGTGATAGTGTTACCTCTAAAAATTGATCAGCCATGTCAACAAATAGATACCCCAAAACACCACCAAATTGAGATCATTCAACGACCGAGAAGTTAAACACAATATAAACATGAAACATCACAAATAGTGAATTCAACATGAGCATTAGCTAAATATAAACACGCAAAAATATAAAAACCAGAAGCAAAGGACAAGAACCCATCATAGAAAACGCAGAAAAAAATCAAACTTTACAGTGGCATTTGAGTAAGGGCTTACATTAAGACAGTGGGATGGATCAATAAAGCACTGGGGCAACCACCACAAGAACATTAAGGTTTTGACAGTGAAAGGAAAAACGCCATGAACGTGTTGGTATTCAATAGATGATAGAAAATGGATAAATGCATCAAATTTGAGGAGAACCGAGGAAGGTAGTGACAGCTTTGGTGAGAAGGTGCAGTTCAACGTTCTGGCATTAAATGGAAACGCAAATTAAATGGGGTTTTTTTTTTAAAAATAAAAAATAAAAAATGGGGTTTTGGCATAATTGCATATGAGAAGGGAATATGGAGAAGGTTTATAACGTCTCTCAGCGAGCGATGAGATTTCAAATTCCAAACTGGGAGATGTGGTCCTTCTTTTCACTGCCACGTCTACAACAACCCTTTTTTGTTCCTCTTTCAAATTAGGTCACGGCTCATTTTTAAAAAAATAATTACAAAAACAAATTTTGGGTTGATTTTAAGTAATTAATAATAAAAATTATTAAAAATATTTATTATATCAACAATATAAACACATAATAATATTATTTTTAAATAATTTTTATACTATTAAAATCAAATTGAGATTAACAAAATTTAAAGTATAAAAGAATATTTTATGCATCATTCAGGAAAATACTTCATTTTTAAAATACATTTTAGAGATTTATGTATAAAAATAAAAAAAAATATTTGATAAAAATAATGATAATTATACAATATTACATATAATATATATTTTAATGATTTAAATAATAGAATTAAATAAATTCCATGTGATTAAAAACTTAGAATGAGATAGAAGCCTTTTTTATGGAAAAATGAGATAGAACATTAAAAATTAAGATATCTTTTATCTAAACTAAAGATATACTTTATAATAAGTAATTATACTCTAAAACTATTATAGACAGTAATATCTTTTAAAAAAATTTACATAATTATATATTTAGAATGCAAATTTAAAATTATTGATTAAATTAAAAAATATCAATCTAATTTATTCACAAGCTTAGTGTTTAATAAAAAAAATTGGACGTGTATATTTTTAAAAGGAATAAAAAATTCAATATAATTAAAATTATTAAATTTGCATTATTTTAAGATACTTTATTTAATATTTGACATGCATAATTTGTTTTGAAACAAAAACATTTTTCATGAGTTATATGTCTTTATGCTGCAATGTTACATAAGTAACTTATAATAAGACTATAAGTATTTTTTTTATAATTGTAATTAAATACAATATAACTTATTTTTCGTAAAATTTCTACAAAATAAATCATTTTTATGCATGCGATTTTTTTAGGTTTGTTTTAAGAAAAAAAATGTCTAATTTTCATATCACGTTGCATATTATGTATTATAGTAACATTTTGTCCAATTTTTTTGAAAAAAAGTAGAACGAAGAAAAAAAAACAAAGCAAGTAGAAGGAAATATGTTTAAAATATTTTAACTTTTTGCTTTTATTTATTAAATAAAATATTACGTCTATTACTTGTTTTTTTCTTGGAAGGCATAATAACAAACGAAAGTGGTTGATTTCTGGCCCTCATTGGTGTCGTTCCTATTCGCTAATTATGCGGACTTTGTTCAATTGATCAATTAAAAGTGTCGTTCCTATTTAATCGATATTCTGTAACTTTTGATTTTAAGCTAATTTGGTTGCTTAGTTGGATTGTGCTGTTTATATTGGATTCAAATAATTTGTGTTTCTGTATATATAAAATAATTCATAACAGATGATAAAATAAATTATTTATCAACTTCTAACTTTTAAAAATTAAATATTTCAATTCAATTCAAATAATTTTTAATCAGATTAGATTAAATTAAATTAAATTGGATAAACTTTTATATAGAAATCAACCCAATTGGATGAACACTTTTAACCTTTTTTTGTCGTACATGAACACTTGAGCTGCAACACAAGCAAGATGTTAGGAGCTAAAGTCCAGCCTCATTTTATGGATCTGTTATAAGTGCGTCGTGCAACCTTCTTTTACTAGTACTACCAATTCACTAACATTCTCGTTATTTAAAATATTAATAATTAACATTATATAAAATATTATTATATGCTGTTATTTTTTATTAATTCACATTTTTTAATATTTATACTTATCTTGAAAATCATCTCCAAAAAAAAAAATATTAGGTTCAAGAAACATTTTTCATTCCACGTTTTCGTCGCCGATTCCCACCGTGGACGGGGATGATACCCGCACGAGATACTAACACTGTGTTTGGATATGCCTTGTAGCATTCTATATGCGTATTTAAGCCACCGCAATTATTAGCGTTGAGCAAAACGCAAGTTTATCTAAATTCGTATAATCGTAGATAATAATTGGACAAAAATTAAGTAATATTGTCAGCGTTATTTTTAATTTAAATTTAAATTTAATTTTAATAACGTGTGTTAATTATTAATGTCAACTTTTATTACACGTATTATTAAAGTAAAACTACAATTATGATTAAACAACAATCCAATAATGTATACACTACTATATTTAAATTTGATCTATAATAATTTAGGACTGACTCATATATCGTAAGTACTTAGTTAACCATAGTTGATTTTATTATCGACATTTTAGTTAAATAAAAATGTTGTAATTAGGTTAAAGATAATTAAAAATGAAACATATAATTATCCCTAAAGTATTGTAAATACAAAGATTCAATCATTCAATGCACCTGTGATTGATTTCAACGGGTTAGCTAGCAGATGCAAAGATTCTGAACAAGTTTAAACCTGAATGGGATAATCCTTGCAGAAATTATAATAATAGAGAAAATTGTGATGACTGAATGAAGCGAATGTACGTACCATCTGACGGCAAACCCAACAGGGCAAACATACATGCAGATATACAATGCATAATCAACCATAGTACCATATACTTTGTTTTTGTCTTTATTGGGGGGATCCTTGAGAATGAATCATCGAAAAAAAATCAAAATAAACACATAAATAGACAAACTAAATTAATTAACATGCTTTGGCAATTGCCTATACTTGCAAAGAGCACATGTAAGTTACATATATAAGTAGAATTAGATTACTTGCCAAATATTTGTGAAACTCTAGTCTTAAGTACAACGCATTTGTCTCACCGTATACACTGTATTTCAATTTTTTTAAACTATTGCAATAAGAGATTATTTTTATCCAATAAGTATCTTCCTACATCAATTCAAGTAGATATAGGTTTTTCAAAACCGAGCCTAATGAATTCATGTTTTTTTTTTTCAATGAGTTTAATTAAAAGTTTAGAACGTTGGATCAGGATTACACATATAAAGAAAGAGTACCCGTACTATAATCCTGACATAATAAATCTTCTACTCCTTGTAATAAATTACAAGTTTTAAAAGGGATACCACTTGTATAATTCATTTTAATAAATCTTCTTTTGTTGATAAAAGAAATAGTAATACAGACATAATTTTGGTTAACGGCGAAAAAATCTTCATTTACAAAGGAATAGCTATCATGATTCTTATTAGCCAATTTGTTCAAACTTTATTTCTCAATTTAGAAGTTGTCAATTCTATATTTTGGTTATATTCTGACTCAGGAGAAAAAAAAATAGATAAGACTTTAAATTTATCAACTGAAATTTACTTTAAATTTGGATGATCAATTATACTTATATGAAGATATCGTTTTATAAACCAACTATTACAACACAATAACAGAAAAAGTTACTAACCAAATATATATTTGATCCTACGTTTTACAACTAACACATTTAAGAGTGTGATTTCATTTAATGAATAATGAAAAATTTTCGAGATTTATCAGTGCATGAATTTTTAATATTTGAACCCTCTAATAATAACAATAGAGGACGTGTATAAATCCCGATCCCAATTGTATTATGTTGGTGCAAGCATTTAAAATCCACAACCATGACGATTAAGCTATAATTGTACCTCATCAAACAATCGGAAATTGCAAACTTGCAGGCACACCATGGAAACAAAACAAGAAACTATTAAAGGGGGTGGGGGAGATCAAACTATGGACACTGCCAAGGAATCGATCTTAATTAATCATAATCACCCCGTCTTCACAATTGTGTCCAAACTCTTAATTGGTATCAGTCATTTTCTGAAAAAGCTAGTGATTCACAAACGAGGACAAGGCAACTTACTGAGACATACTACATTTGCTCCACCCAATTTCAACACTTATTATGGACACTTTTTCCTTTAGTTAAGTAATTACACAAATTTCTTTAATATTTTTAAAGACTTTTGAGTATAGTAAGGAAGATACATGTGATTCATTGAACAAAGAAAGTGTCTCTAATTAAAAATCACATTTGAGGATGTGTACCATAACCCGATCCCAAATGTTTCATGTTGGTGCAAGCATTTAAAATCCACAATCATGACAATTGATCGAGCTATAGTTATCCCTCATCAAACAAGCATATTACAAACTTGGCACATCATTGAATCAAAATAAGTAACTATTAAAGGAGAAAACATCATAAAAAACTAGAGTCAGTACCGACGAACCAATCTTAATCATAAAGCCCCGCCCTCACAATCGCGTCCAAAGTCCAAATTCTCAGTAGCAGTCATTTTCTAAAAAAGCTAGTGATTCACAAACGAGGAGAAAGCAACTTACGAAGAGAAGTTATTGGCTTCACCCAATTAATGGCAACACTTGTGACACTTTTTTATTTCATTATATACATATTTTTCTTGGTTTAACATTTTTACATACTTTGTGTAAGGTCTATATGTAAATTAAAATAAGGAATATACGTGTGATTCCTTGAACAAAGAAAGATACTATATATAGAGTGAAAAGGCAGTGCAAAGCAAGCTATGGCGCTGGCCTCGAGAACATAATTAGTGTATGCAGTTACCTTTATTAATTAACAAAGTTCCATATATCTATGTACCGAAGACCTAAAAGAAGATGATGGGTGTTAATTAATTTGGAGGAAATTCAGGTCTTGAAGTTCTCTGAGGAGCAAGCGAGTGTGAGGTTGAGATCCACATCATCATCACCCGGTGGAACTTGTAAGGGCACTGTCCTAGATGAGCTGGAAAAAGGGAAGTGATGTGGTGACCCTGCAGTACTATGAAACCAAGCTGCACCAGCACTAGTTGCACTACCAACACTAAAGTTCAGTGACCCATTTGGATGAAGAGAAGATCCTGATCCTTGTGCTCCATTTGATGCTGTTCTGAGCCTATGGTCATGTTGACGAAGACGATGAAGGTATCTGAACTGTGCTAGCCTAGCACGTTCTTTCTTGTGCGCATTTTGGTGACCTCCTAGAGCTTGAGAATTGGCAAATTGGCGAAGACAGTATCGGCACTGGTATCTCTTAATTCCACCAGCCAAGTCCTCACTCAAGGGGAAACCAAATAGCTTCATCATTAAATTTTTAGAGATGATTATTTTTTCACCATCATCAAATGGGTGTTATCTCATATCCCTCATGGGGTAATTCATAAATATTCATTACTATATTAAAGTTTCCAATGTATATGCGTATGTATTTATATTTATGACTGGCGTTGGAGATGTGCTTTCGTGTCTATATATGAGAAGGCCTCTAGTTTAGGGCCCCCACTAATTCAGGTAATCAAATTCATGCCCCCTTTTTTGTCCTTTTCTTTTAATTGAATAATAAAATAATAAGAAATTATCATAAAAAAGAGAACGAAATCTTTTTCCATAAAGTTGTCATTATTTCAACTGGAAAAGAAGAGACTGAGAGAGAAAACATCACAGAAGATCCCCTTTTTCTGCATATTTTATTCATCCCCGTTCATGCTCGATGTCTAGTAGGACCATTAAAAATGGTGAAATTCATTTTACAAAATTTTAACACAGTTACATTGATAAGACTTATTATTGGTTAAATTATAACTTGCTCTTTTAAACCAATCTACACTTTCAATGGTAAAATAAAATACATTCAATATATTATGACTTAAGGGGTAAAGACAAAAAAATGCATTCACATATTAGAAAATTACACTCCTTGAACCTTGGAAAATAAAAGAGATAATAATAATATTAATAAATAATGTGATATCATAGAAAACTTGAAAAACTCAATATTATTCAAATGATGTCACTTTCATATTATGGTCACATATTGCCTTGATCTTTTAAGTTAAATATTGAAGGCAATATGATAAGTGTACATATTCAGTAGATTCAATAACAGGTTAGTTTCTTCTTTGTACCTTCGTGTTGGTTGTTTTATGGTTAGAAAATTATTTTTTTTATTAATAGATACATATTTTAATAAAAAAAATTACAATTGAGCTTGATTTTAACACACATCTTAATTGTAGTTAATAATTTAAAAAATTTATTAAAATTAATTTTACTCAATTTTAAAACACACAGACTCCTCTTTTCTACTTTTAACATGAAACATATTTTTAGTTTTTTTATTAATCATTAATAAGTACTTCTTCTATTAAATTATAATATTTAACCTGAACAATTTTTTTTAATAACGATAAGAGAGAAACAGTAAAAATGTTATCTATTTGAAGAATATATACTATAAAAACATTGAAAATTTACTCCTCAGCATTGTATCGGAAGGCTAATTTTCTTTCTCAACATTCTATACATTTAAGCCAGTTTTTTCAATTTATTAAGAAATACACTTATTGGATACCCCAAAAAAAGTGTAAGTCTAATTTCTATTATTTTAAAATTTATATATAAAATGGCATTGTAAAAAAGTAAGTAATGTTTTGTAAGTATTAAAACAATGGTCTATTCTCCATCTTCCGCGCGTCTTGTGACGAAAACGAAGGAATTTTTGTTAATTGATAATATCTCTACGATATTTTATTAAAAAACACCCAAACTTTGGAATCTTGAATATATTTAATTGGAGGCCATTACTAATCAACACAAAAAGATTTATTTTTTTTCTCGTGTGGTTTTTCATGAATGGTACCATTATGACTTTAACACAAACACTTTTTTTTTTCAGTAAAAAAGAAAATGCTTCATAATACAAATACTATTTGTACTCAATATGTTCAAAACATGTTTGACACGTGATTGATAAATAAAGTTTCTCTCTGTCTTTTAAACACGAACACCTTATCTTGATTGGTTAATTTTCTTATTAAAATCGTACATTTGTAATTATACATTTTTAAAAAAATGTGATTGCTTCCTAATTTTTTTTTTATTGATAGTTATAATTGAAGGTTTACACACACAATTTACAATTTGGACATTTAAGTTAAATTTTAATTTCTTAGAGCCGAAAGAGCTGGCTCAATTTATAAGATTTAATTTCATTCATTAAAATGTTGTGAATTAAATGCCTGATAATCATTTTATTCGTTAATGAATAAAAATTAAATTACATTAAATTTAAAAAAATTAAAATATAAATTATTTATTATTTATTTTATGTAATTTGAAAATATTTCAAACACCCTTTAATTTAATTAAAATCTTCAAAGCAATCTGTGCATTGTACTACAATGATCTTTAAGACTCATTTGGTGCATAAAATCAGAATTGACATTTAGAATTATAATTTCAATTCTAATTTTATGTTTAGTATATTCAAAGAATTAGAATGTAGAGTTAAAATTCTAAATTGAAATCAAATTCTATATTGTCAGGTAAGATCTACATTTTTTAAAAATAATTTAATTTTGTATTAAATTTTTATTTAATAACTTTTTAAAAAAAATGTGTTAATTAAAAATATAAAATAATTATTAAATAAATTATTAAAGATGATCACTTAATATTTTTTAAAAATTATGACTTAGTATATTTATTTTTTATATTTAATTTATTATTAAAATTTAATATTATGTTATGAACTATCTTTCTCATGAAAGCATACGTCGCTTACGAAATATAAATTAAATATAAGTGCTTCTAAGAACTCTCATTTTGAGACTATGAAATAAAATAAGTAAAAACATTGCAACGAAATCCTTCTACGCTTATATAATAAGTAAGACATAATTGATTATATACATGATATAATTGTTTTAAAAGTATACTTTTTATTGTATATTTATCACACTTTATTACATTTAGTATTGATTTTCTCTTTTTTATTTCTCTTTACTTTCAAAAGTTTTTGAATTAATTTTTAATATTTATTCTGACATCTAACAATTCAAGAAAAATATTACGACATATTAATGTAAACATATTTATTATATAATTAATATAAACAATCTAGTTTGTGGCAAGTGTAAAAAGTACAGAATAGCAATATAAATATAGTTTGCAGTAAGTGTAGAATAGCAATACATAGTAACGTAAACATATTAAATATATAAGAAATGTAAAAAATGAGAAAAAAAAAGGTAAAAGAAAAAAGAAGACGTAAAAGAATAATAGGAAGAATAAGATTAAGAAAAATTGAGAAAAACTACTTTTATTAACAATCAATGTAAACCAAGAAAAAAGAGAACATAAAAAAAATGATATTAATAATAAACATAAAGGTAGAGTTGATAAGAAAATACAGAGAACATAATTAGAGGAAAAATGCATATGTGAAAAAAAAATAAGAAGAAAAGGAGAGAGAAGAGAAAATTATTTGAGAAGAAAGTAAGAATCACCGAGACGAAAAATCATAAAGATAAAGAGAAGACACAATACGTGAAAGTGTATTTATAAATTATGATATTAAAAATTCAAATTTTTAAGGTGTAGGGTGACAATTGAAGTGAGTCAAATTTAGTTATTATAGAATTATATGGAATTGGTCTATGAAATAATTTCAATTCCAAATAGACATTCAAACATGATAATTAAAATTCTAAATTTTAATTATAATTTTAATATTCAATTCTATATTCAATTCAATTTCGTACGCCAAACAGGTGCTAAGTGAAAACTTCTTTGTAATATCATTTAACTAATTGCTAAATAATTAAAAAAAATCTTAAGATCACATTTTTTAAAAAATCATATTTAATGATTTATTAATACACTATTGAGTGGGGATTGAAAATTTTAAAATATCATAACATCAAATTTTAACTCGTTTATTTAATTTGGAATTCTTTTAATATTGTATTGACGTGTATCTTGAAATACACACAAATTTTTGTTAGAAGATTTTATTTTTTTTATGAAAAAATATATAATTAATATATTAAAATTATAAAAAAATTATAAATATTTATCTTTTTAATAAAATATTATTATTATTAGCTAATTGAGGTTAATAAAACCTTTTGTTGGATTATAGAGATCAAAACTTAGTGTATTTTATTTAGTTTGTTATTTAAATTTTAAATAAAAAAGGTTATCCTTATTTCTTTACATACTCTACCTATTCTAATTAAGGATAAGAAAATAGATTATTAAAACCAAATAAATTTGGTTCAATTTAAGAGATTCTAAATATATAATAATTCATTTGTAAATGAAATTAATTAAAAATTAAAAAAAATCAACCTAGATGATCTCGACCAGTACCTTGAAGAAATTATGTTTTAAATATACCTATTATTTAATTTATCATCTTTCTTTGAAACCAAGTTTAGGGTTTAGGGTTTTTTTGTTATTTTCAAATGCCGTAATTTGAGTCTTCCTTCCTGGGGCTGATGAGTAGAGGTGATGATGGGATAAATGCTTATTAAGAAATTATAACATACTTAAGTCACTGTATGCATCAATTAAGTAGGGTAAGAGTCCGTATTATAGAATGATTGTATATCTTAAGTGTGCAAGCGTGCTTTGTTGTTGTTATAATGTTATTATTGCAGGATGAGACTGATATAACTTGTAATGGTCTAAAGATCACGGAATCTTATAGATCGTTGTGGTTAGAGAAGGTCCTCTAACAGGTGGGGACAATTTGATGTTATTGTAATATTATTTCACGCCCGTTTAAAGATATACTGAGGAACACTAATTTATCCATGTTAGAAAAAAAGAGGGCAAATGAGAATATGGTACGGAAGTGCACACACTGTTAAGATTAGATGTTTCATAAGAACCAAAGGCTAAGAGAAACATCGACCGATAGATTTGCTTGGACAATATCATTGGAGCATTTACCTATTCGATTTCTCTATTACGTGCATGTTAGTGACCAATAGTTATTTCAAAAGTCCCACTAAATGCTGTGCCGGTCTCTTTCTTAGATTATTATTATTATTATTCATAAAATTGGAAACGTGGATTTGATACCATTCAAGTGGTCTGCCATGCATCCTTGTTAAAAAAGAATAATGTTGTTTGTATATATACCACAATTTGGGCACACGAGATGAAAAAAATAATCATATGTGATGAATCATGTACGAATTGTTCGTTTTAAAATATTTTTAATTTTACTCAGTTTTAAATTAGATAGGCTCGTAATATCACAACAAAAAGATAAAAATAAAATACTTTATAAATTT